GAGCTCAACCAGCAGATTGCAACCCTGGAAATTCAGGAAACTGTCTTTTTCTTGGAGCCAAGAAGAAGGAAGGCAACAATTATGAATTTGAAATGTCTGGAGAGTCGGACGGCTACGTTGCTTGCACCTTTTCACCTGATGGTGATTTTGTAAGTCACTTCGACCACAAACTTATATATACCATAGAAATCAACCAATCACTGATCACATATTGTACAACGGTTCTAGTTTCGATGATGTAAGAATTTTTTTTTCTCACCACAGGGAAATAACGAAACAACCTACATCTGTGCTAACCATAACGGCAAGGTCAAATTTTTCACTGCTCGCTACAATAAGAACAAGATGGTAAAAACAGAGGTGAGTGACACTTGCACTGCAGCGGCTTAGCTGAGTATTTTTATAGCAGAGGACTGGAATCTGGTAAAAAATGTCCATATAATATATATTATCTTATTTTTACCCTTTTTTTTTGCAGCTGCCTGCAAACTCTGTGAAGGGTAAGATCACTCAAAACAAAATCCAGTGCTCATTTCTTGCCGCTCTACCTCTGGGGGCATTGAGAGCAGAAGATAACGTAGCCATGTCACTGTCCACTGGAGACTATGATGCTGGTAAGGTTACATTTATGGATATACCCACTGTCTTAGACATGGTTTCAGCTGAGAAAAGACCATTTCATTGACCTCTTTTTATTTTTCTCCTTCAGCTTCAGGGGATCTGGGAACGCCTGCTTTTAAATATGAGAGCCCTGTGGTTAACCTGGCAAACCCCAACTCCGCTGTCCCTAATGTTATAACCACCACTGCAGCCCCAACCAATGCCCCTACAGCTGCTCCAACCACTAGTCATGCTGTCCCATTCCACAAATCTGTCTTGCAAGGTAGGAATAAAAACCATAACAAGATCCACACCAAAGTCCATAGAGAGAAATATCAATTTAAGCCTTGTTAGTCAGATGATGTAGGTCTCTTTGACCATATATGGAAAATGTCTATCATTTACTGTATGCCAATCTGAAAGAAGAATTCTACATTTCAAAAGTACAAAACAACATTGACATCTAATGATGCAGTCAGCAATACATCCACCTCACCAGTGACTTAAGAAGTAAAATGAATGATTTTGTCAAATGTTAAATGATTAGTGCAGTGTGTGAGGTTTAGACAAACTTGATTGTTCAGTTGAAAAGGCTGATAATCTGTCAAATAAAGGAGACGTTTTATTGACTTGGTCAACTTTTACAGACTAGGTGTCTTTCATGATTTAGCCAGACCTTTATATAGTCGTTGCTGCCATTAGTGTGTCATTTCTAATCCTATTTTTTCTTATTTTGTTTCCCTCTGTCTTGTCACCTTTAGCCCTGCTGATCATTCTGAGCACCATGACTGTGTTCCTGGTTTGAGGATGCTGAAATTACTTCATCTGAAGACACTTGTTGAAAATGCCACAACTTTCCTTTACACTTATTCAGAGGAGAGTCATTTATTCTACAAAACACAATGATATAACGTTAGCATATAAACTCACTGGATGGAAGAGTAGAGATGATGGTGGACCGTCGACTGGCTCGTGGACAGCCTTCCTCTGACTGCTGTCTTGTCTGTGTTAGAGTCTGAAGTCAACAGAAAAACACACGTCATTTAAAATTATTGATGCACATGTTTTGTACAAGTAGGACGGCTGGATTTCTGTCCTAAGTTAGAATGTCTAAATAGCAAACATTTACTCTCACAGCCTCTCTGGACCATGTGGTCAATACATGGCTTTTACAACAAGGTGTTATTATTTCTCATTTATAAAGAACTTACGAGTCAGGATTGTTTTCCCATATGAAGCCCATACTGGCTGACATTTTTGTGAACATGTATAAAATATATTTATATGTTTATTTATTTTGCTGAAAAGTGTTTGTACCCTTTGTGTAATGTTATTTTATTATGAATTATATTAAAAGATATATATTATTGTGTATCTTATTGTAATGACGTGGTTTGTCTTCAACACTCAAAAATAGTTACAACAACAATTTCATTTTTATTTTTAGCTAAGCTGCTAATGCAACTCTTGCTCCGTGCCAAACCGGTAGCCGTGGCAAGTTGCACAATCACTTGTTTCTTGCTCCGTGCCAAACCGGTAGCCGTGGCAGGTTGCACAATCACTTGTTTGGTGCAATTTCAAACAGTTAAACAGACTGTTATGTTGCTGATTTTTCACCGTCACCAACCGCTGACATACCTTGCACACCAGCTTAATTCGCTCAAGATAACTATGGTGACCAAATCATGGCTGACGTCAATTTCAGTGCCATCAGGAATATGGGCTCACAGCCTAATACTCTAATTAACCTAACATCTTTTAAGATCACTTATTACTATTATATAGTCAGTCCTGCTCCAGCCATACCTTGAACCCAACAATCACTTTGACAGCACACTACTAACTACTATCTCACTGGTCTGCACAATCCTCACGTTTCTCTGATTCTCCTGACTTTCTCATACAGTACAATGATTCCTCCTTAGCCACTGTATCATAACCTCCCTCTAAGTCCACAAAGATACTCCTGTCCTTCTCTGAACTTGCATCTGCAGTACTTTTCCTGGACATAAAAACTGCTGCTCACTGATCTTCACCCTTCTACCACTCTTTCCCCTGCTTTCATCATGTGGCTAACCAACGTTATGCCTTTGTAGTTACTACAACTCAGCTCATCAACCTAGTTCTTGTAAATCTGTACCAGTACACTTTCTCTCCATTCATTACTGTGTATTACACTCTGGGAGGTGGAAAATTACCACGGTCTGTACGAGGAGCTGGGTAGCCTGACGGGTTCAGTATGGCCTGATCCTTCTTAGTATATTGAATAGTGTAAAGTTACACGACCGGGCCAAATGATCTGTCATTCTTGCTACTTTGGTAGGAGCAAGAAATAAGGGGTCGATTTTTATGTCATAATGTATGTATGCTACGTTTAAGTCCCTACTCTGACCTGTACACTCCTGCTTGTTTCCCATTCTCTCTCTTCTTCCTAGCACGTGGCCCCCTTCTCTTCCTTGATGTTCTTCAAATAACAGGAGTCTAGTATACTACCTTTTTCTGAAATGCTGTCCAACTTGTGGCGAGTTAGCACAGACCACATTCAGCAGCACACATTCCATTTCTATCTTCGTAAGCATGACTCAGTCTAAAACTCTATTGACGTCCACAACGCAGTTTAAAAACTGTTCTCTAAAAATACCCCAACTCCATTCTCCTTACTCTCTAGTCCACACCATAATAAAAGTTAGAAACCACCTCTAACGATCCTTGATTTGCTTCCCTTCCATCTGGTCTCCTGAACACACAAGGTACACCCTTCTCTTAACCAACTCTGCCAGCTCTCTACCTTCAACAATCATTGTCCCTACATTTAAGTCCCTACTCTGACCTGTACACTCCTGCTCGTTTCCCATTCTCTCTCTTCTTCCTAGCACGTGGCCCTCTTCTCTTCCTTGATGCTCTCCAAACAACAGAAGTCCAATTTCCACCGACATGCTGTTGGTCAACAGCATCAGAGATGGCCTTTGTTAACCAGGGCTGCAGGTTTTACATCAGATGCCCTTCATGACATTAGCCTCAACAATTTATCTGGGCATGAGACCGTCACTCCGAGGACATGGAACGTGCAACCCAGTGGCTGACTTTCTTTGACTAAAGACTAATTGACATTCATTAAAAAAAATGAAATATTGCCTACATTTAAATATGTAGAGGTAAACACACAATGTAGTATTACTTGATGATATTCTGTTTGAAAGTCCCAAAGCTTTCATTAACTTTTAAAAAACATTAAAATATAAATAGATCCCAAACAGTACAAATAATAATACAATGAAAATGAGTACAATGACACATCCGTCAGCATTAACGTTTAAATTCTTGGACTATGATGAACCTATGACTTCTTTGTTGGTTGTCGCCTGGGAGAAAACAATCTTGTTGCTTTTGATACCTTGTTGATGACACACAGTGATTGTTACGTAAAGGACAAGGCTTTTCTACAGTGCACACCCTTAACCTGTCACTTTCCACCCTGCCCTTAGAAAAAATCCTCTGTGATGTAAAGGGAGTTGGTGCGTGATGCTCTCCTCACCCGTGTGTTGCTATTTAAACTGGAGGAGAAGGGAACAGGTGTCACACCTTCACCTGCAGGACACCAAGAAGTGACGGGAACCCAACGGTGGAACAACTATTGAGGACACATTTGAAAAGAAGTGAACTTCTTGGTTTCTATTTAAGCCTGTTTCACCCGATTGGATTAAAAGAAAAACAATCAAAAGGTAGGCTGAAGTGGTTGGCATTCTGGGAATTATTTTTGTACTGGAGGAACTGTTGATTCTTGTGCTCCTAAAGGCAGCATTACAAAATACAAAAACAATATGTTTTAATTTGGATAAAGTACAAAAAGAATTTATCCAAGTCATTTTTAATATTAAGGAAAATAAAGAACATTACACAGTTTTTGTGTAACAAAACTTCTATTCCGATTTGTATTTTTATTTGTTTTTTTTTAATGTATTAATTCAATTAATGTTTTTAATAAACAATTTCCAAAAATTTACCCACAAATTATTCTTATTATTGTTAATCATCTTTTATGACTATTAATTTTTAATGCCTCATTTTTTCTTCGTCATTTTAGTAAATTACTTAATAATGTAATGTTTTTGCATTAATTAAATGAATTGAAGAAAAGAAAAAAATGTATGCAGACCCATAATATACAGTGGAGTTTTTGAAAGTCCATTCTGTAATCACTTGCTGAACATTAATTTTTTATGGTAAATATTTTTTACATGGTGGCGCTTTGGCCCAGAGGCCATGTCTCTGTCATTGGTGTAGAACCCCAGGGTTCACCTCCTGGGTGAGTTAGAATCCTGGTCAGGGCGGTTGGTACCTTCCAGTGGACTCACCACCCGCAGGAAGGTTTAGGGGGGGTTGGTACGGTGCAGTGTAATTTGGGTGGAGACTGCTGCCCCAGCGACCCGGTAACGGATAAACGGATGAAAATGGATGGATTTTTTACACGTCAATTTAATTTAGTGAAGGCTTAATTTGAAATTTCTGGATTGTGTATTTGAACCATGATGCAAAAAAATGTCTTAGTTAATCAAAACTTTTATTTTGTAAATTTGCGAACATGGCCTCAGTCATCAGACTGAATCATATCTGTCTTAAATATTTAAGACATTAGAGTGAGCAGTTAACCCTGTTTAACATAATGGACTTGTTAAAAGCTGATGTTTCATTCTTTCGTGATAAAAATAGAAAAAAAAGCCAAAGGATCAGGATACATGTCAAACAAACAGTTTTTGTTTTGGTACTACCTTACCACAGCACAGTCAAACTACATTTTATTACTATCATTTTTATTGGTTAAGGTAAATATATTGTGATAGTCCTTAGAGTCCTGTAATGTTAGCATGAATCACAACTGCTTGACCAGGACTAATGTTGGGCTTTCGTGAAGTTTTGCTTCAAATACCAAAAGCTAAACTTGACTTATCCATTCCAGGTATGGACAACAGACTGCTGCTCACATTCCTGTTTGTGATGCTGTCATGGACTTGTACCAGGGCCCAAACCACTGTGGCGGTGACAGAGGAGTCAGGGTACGATGACCCAATGGTGACAGAAGACCCAGTCCTTGAGTTAACTCTAGCAACAGACGATCCAACGTACGATGTTTCCCTGCCGGTGGACATAACCACAGGCGCACCAACAGGTGAAGGTACAACAATGATTACTACTACAACCACAGCAGCACCAACAACAACTGTTTCTCATCTGGGGTGGAATAAATGTCACATCTGAGGGGCAGTGCTGGCTTAGTGGTTAAGGAAGCGGACTTGGGTCCGGATGGCTTCAGGTTTGAAGTTGCCAAGTTACCACTGAGGTGCTCTGAGCACGGCACCGTCCCCACACACTGCTGCCTGGTTCTTAAAGCTGCCCACTGTTCACTTTGGTGATTGGGTCAAAAACAGAGGTCACAGTTGGTTGTGTGCAGTGGTGAGCTGTGTCACAGTGACAACTACTTCACTTTCCTTTATCCCTTTCCTTCTACAACAGAACCTGCAACAGAAGCTCCGCTGGGTGTCGACACCACTGTAACTCTCCTTGAAGTGAGTATTGCCCAATGAAAACTTGTATTGTAGGGTTTCACTGTTAGACAAAAGTCTAAGTGAACTTTATTGGAAATAATAAGGATTTTGTGGGCAGAGCCTTAAAGACAAGAAAAGGCGCAAAAGCATTAGCATGTGACTGAGTTATCAGACACAGCTGATGAAGGCAGAATTGAGAGTGTGTTCTACCCTGTGCTTCACAAGTCGAATTAAAAATAAGACTTTCCCAACTCAAAATAATTAAAGACATAAGACCTGTCCTAACACCCCCTTTGTTGATCTGTTTGAAGGAACACTTTTGGATTGACTAAACCATCTCTTGTTTGCCTTTCAGACAACAATTTCTTCAGACAAATGTGGTACAGAAAGCCTGTGTGGAGAAGAACCAGCAGATTGCAACCCTGGAAATCCAGGAAACTGTCTTTTTCTTGCAGCCAAAAGGAAGAAAGGCCAAAATTATGAATTTGAAATGTCTGGAGAGTCGGACGGCTACGTTGCTTGCACCTTTTCACCTGATGGTGATTTTGTAAGTCACTTCGACCACAAACTTATATATACCATAGAAATCAACCAATCACTGATCACATATTGTACAACGGTTCTAGTTTCGATGATGTAAGAATTTTTTTTTCTCACCACAGGGAAATAACGAAACAACCTACATCTGTGCTAACCATAACGGCAAGGTCAAATTTTTCACTGCTCGCTACAATAAGAACAAGATGGTAAAAACAGAGGTGAGTGACACTTGCACTGCAGCGGCTTAGCTGAGTATTTTTATAGCAGAGGACTGGAATCTGGTAAAAAATGTCCATATAATATATATTATCTTATTTTTACCCTTTTTTGCAGCTGCCTGCAAACTCTGTGAAGGGTAAGATCACTCAAAACAAAATCCAGTGCTCATTTCTTGCCGCTCTACCTCTGGGGGCATTGAGAGCAGAAGATAACGTAGCCATGTCACTGTCCACTGGAGACTATGATGCTGGTAAGGTTACATTTATGGATATACCCACTGTCTTAGACATGGTTTCAGCTGAGAAAAGACCATTTCATTGACCTCTTTTTATTTTTCTCCTTCAGCTTCAGGGGATCTGGGAACGCCTGCTTTTAAATATCAGAGCCCTGTGGTTAACCTGGCAAACCCCAACTCCGCTGTCCCTAATGTTATAACCACCACTGCAGCCCCAACCAATGCCCCTACAGCTGCTCCAACCACTAGTCATGCTGTCCCATTCCACAAATCTGTCTTGCAAGGTAGGAATAAAAACCATAACAAGATCCACACCAAAGTCCATAGAGAGAAATATCAATTTAAGCCTTGTTAGTCAGATGATGTAGGTCTCTTTGACCATATATGGAAAATGTCTATCATTTACTGTATGCCAATCTGAAAGAAGAATTCTACATTTCAAAAGTACAAAACAACATTGACATCTAATGATGCAGTCAGCAATACATCCACCTCACCAGTGACTTAAGAAGTAAAATGAATGATTTTGTCAATGGACTTTGGTGCAGTGTGTGAGGTTTAGACAAACTTGATTGTTCAGTTGAAAAGGCTGATAATCTGTCAAATAAAGGAGACGTTTTATTGACTTGGTCAACTTTTACAGACTAGGTGTCTTTCATGATTTAGCCAGACCTTTATATAGTCGTTGCTGCCATTAGTGTGTCATTTCTAATCCTATTTTTTCTTATTTTGTTTCCCTCTGTCTTGTCACCTTTAGCCCTGCTGATCATTCTGAGCACCATGACTGTGTTCCTGGTTTGAGGACGCTGAAATTACTTCATCTGAAGACACTGAAGACACTCGACAAAACACAATGATATAACGTTAGCATATAAACTCACTGGATGGAAGAGTAGAGATGATGGTGGACCGTCGACTGGCTCGTGGACAGCCTTTCTCTGACTGCTGTCTTGTCTGTGTTAGAGTCTGAAGTCAACAGAAAAACACACGTCATTTAAAATTATTGATGCACATGTTTTGTCCATGTAGGACAGCTGGATTTCTGTCCTAAGTTAGAATGTCTAAATAGCAAACATTTACTCCCACAGCCTCTCTGGACCATGTGGTATAAATATATTAATATGTTTTTATGTTTTGCTTTTTAGCCTTTATGTAATGTTATGATATTATGAACTGTAATAAAAGCTCTATAATATAAAATTATCTGGTTATGACGATGTGGTTTCTCTTCAACAGCTCAACAGACAAGCTTTTTGTTCATTTTCACTAAATAGCCTGGAGTACAAATCTCAGCAGGTAACTCTTGTAGAGTATTCACATGTATTTGAAAGTATTTCACAATGTTTGTTGTACTTTTTAATCACATGGTGCTGATGGCAGTAAGAAACATAATCAAGGACAAGCCCTTAACATTGTAATCCTTTTGGAATCCAAAAACCTAATGACTCAGCTCTGAAAATTCTAGAGTTCAGTGTAGGTGAAGTGAATGATGTTGCTTTATGGAGACATACATTTGTTTTTCAAGACTTCACGACCATATGAACTATTAAACATGCCGAACATTATTGGATGGGAGTTGAACCTTCAGGTGGGTTCAGGTAGGATACTCTGTTTCCTATGACTTTGTATCCCTTCATTTTGTATTAACTCACAGCTATGTGCCCAAATTAAAATGCAACTAAATTACAAAGGTGTGTCACAGTGCTGAGATTTCAACTGCTGCAACTTTGATTAAGGGACATAATTAAATGCCTCATCATTATTACATGAGTGTTAAATCATGTGTCAGACATGAAAGAGAATGTTCTGTGGATCATCTTGTTCTTCAGGTCCTGTCTGTGGTGACTTTTGCTTAACATTAAAACTTACCTGTAAACAAACAATATGCCTATAGTAATTTGAGAGAATTTTAACATACTCACAGCCGCAATTTTACAAAACTGCTTTACAGGAGCTGTACCATTTACTTTTTAACAAACAACACATGCCAAAAGCTTGAACACAAACGGCCTAAGCAACTAAAAAGCTCCAAAGATATCATTGAGACTGTTTTGTCCCAGTGACGTGCGGTGAGGTTCATGGCTGGTGAGGCACTGACTCCTCTGGAGTCAGATTTACAATTGTAAGAACCGAAAAAGAACATCTTATTTCACTATCCATCCAACAGCACCGCCTGATACTGCTTCAATATCTATCAGCATTCGTCTTTCAATGACATTTACACCAACACAAACACATGTACATATTTGACCAACAAAGAACGTTTCTTTTTTACAAATGGACAGATCACCCTTCTTGTGTCTGAGCAATTCATATTTACTGTAAACAAATTAAAGTATAGAGATGAGTGCAGCACAAGTTTAATTTTGACGTTCAGTAAAAATTTCAGTTGTTTTTCAAACTTTAAAATGCTGCTGTTTCAATCAAAGGTTGTCTATCAATTTGATAAGAAAAAAAAATGTAGGAAAAAATCACAACATCATCACAACGTTATCAAACACCTTTTCTACTTACTCCCATCTTATTTAAAAAAGAATAAAAACTTTTTAGCCTTACTTTTACTTATGGATGAAGTCCAAGGTTGTATCTCTCGGTCTTCCTTCACCTTAGCATCATAGATGCTAATGTTTAGCCTCCGTTGCTCATCCCATGCCAAACCAATCCTTGAATATCCAAACGTTTTTAAAGAAATCTGTCTTTGAACGTGCGTGGCTGATCTTTCATGTCTGCTGAGGCTTCTTTGCTAATGTTTCAGGTCACTGTATCCCGAGTTAGTCCAGACGTTATCACACGGTGAGAATAAAAGACAGGAAAGCAGTAATGGCGGTTTCTTGCAGGACAGCCACACAGCCAGTCTTTTCGTTTGTACCACTCCATTTGAAAAGAACGACTCTTCTGCCCCGTAGTTTGAAGCTAACCTTTTAGCTCCGGCGTTGGTCTTTCATAACTTATCATCTTCTGTCTGGACCGAAAGTCCAGTTTTGAGAAACATTTCCGTCTTGAAATACAACCGCAAACGCAGTTCTTACTACTACTACTACTACTACTACTAGCTCTAGCTTGGCGCCGACTTTCAATTGCTTGTTGACGCCAGCTGGAGAGCACCTGTCAGCTCACGTACGACCCCTTGAGGTGAGGTACTGTCTGCCTCCACTGCTGACGTTTATCTGCACCTTATTGGCTGGAACTGAAACTGGCAAGCGTCATGTGACCCAGTTTGATTGGATCGCGCAGTCAGAAGTGAGACACAGCTCACCGCTGCTTCACCCGGAATTTCTGCTCTGTATTTGATCGCGAAATACTCAAATTCGGTGATTTTTACTTAATAAAATGTCAAAAATGTGTAGAGTCAAACTGAAAATGCATCTTTAACACAAATCAGTGGAAAATATATTTATTTCATGTACTTTTTTCTTTTTTATCATGATGGCAGGTGAAGCACTGCCTCCCCTGCCTGCACGTCACTGTTTGTATCACGCCTGTGATGGCTGGCACGAGAAGAATCTCAGTTTAATTTGACTGTCATCATACGCCCTCTAGTGACCAGGATTTAAAATAAACTACAAATGGAACTTTCGAATTGCCACTGTCTTCATAGTTTAACAAACCACTCTCCTGTAGAACCGAGCCTTTGGTCCCGACATTGAATACATTTGCACAGACATTTAAAAGATCTAATTCATTCACCAAGCTTATAATTAATTCTGGTTTGAACCCGTCCTGGACGAGATCTTGATCTACAGTATGTGGGCTTCACAGGGATGCTGAAATAAATAAATATAAACATAATGAAATCTGTGTCTGAAACGTGGGGGCACGGGGAAGAAGACAGGGTGTATAATTAGCGTCTTTCAAGGGACGTTGTAAAGACAACTATTTTGCGCTTTTACAACATTCCAGTATTTAGCTTTTAATGCATTTTCAGGAGGTGTACTGCAATAGCAGAAGGTCATAAAAACATCAAATCAACCAAAACCTTCAGTGTATATAATAAATATTACTCAATATACTGTATACTGTACCAATATGACTGCAATGGCATACTAACATGACTGCAATGGCATACTAACATGACTGCAATGGCATAAAAGAAACAGCAAGCGACGCTGTTGAGCTTCTTCTGCTCCAATGAGAAACAACACAAACCGTGTAAATGTTAAATTCAGTCACAGACATAGAGACCAAGCATTTGTGGGATCACGGTGAGGTTGGTGAAGCTTTGAAGGAAAATAGAAGAAAATGTGAGTCATGGGAAGCTAAAAAAAAACCAACATGGGTTTGTATTTAAACAGGAGGGAGAGAAAGAGAGAAAGAAAGGAAAAAGTCTACTCGCTTGTTCACTAGACCAAGGAACACAATACTGACTATTGCTAAACTTCCACATTCCATTGGTGCTCTTCTGTTTGTTTGTTTGTTTTTTTGTTTTTCCACTAAGAACTTTTTTAGCAAACTTTATATTTTCTAGGGGTCAGCATATTTTGTCACTTAAGGTGGGAACCCAATAAACAACTTACAGTACACAGTAGGTTTTGGAGTACACCAAACAACATACTGGTTTTTGTATGACCACTGAGGGATTGGAGATCACAGAGCAAACAGCTGAGCCTGATGATCACAGACAACATGATTTGTCAAATCAATCAAAGTTAAATAAACACATTAAAGTCTCATACGCGCTCCACCACTCGTCTAAGTCCAACATTCTTTGTGCACATACCTGCAGAAGGGGAACAATAAAGTGCATATTGAACATATTTATACAACATATAAATATAATCATAATTTTATATTAGGAACATTAATGTTAGGACTAATTTTAACAAAAGCTCTCCAACAATGATTGTTTTCAATGTTTATATTCAAAGTGAACCTATTTATTCTGTCTGCACTTCCCTGTACCAAATGATCACTGGCCTGTTACTGGACCTTGGCCTGGAATAATGAACAAAGAAATATAACAGTTAGTAATATTGTCACACTACTCAATAATGTTCAGATTTGGCAACATATTCAAAGGTTATATTATGTTCTATATACTGGTACTGCCGTCACAAAAACACAGACTAAATAACATTCTTGCTGACTGGTACAGAGGTAGAACAACTGGGAATCCCAAACAGAATTTAGAGAAATATCTTCTTTTTTACCCCAGCTTTGACCACCTGACCTCTGTATTCCACAGTCTGTCTTGAACCCTTTTCTCTTATATCTTTGTTGTTTCCATTTCATGCAGATGCTGTATTAGGTCATTCTGACACTTTTGTTTATCAAATAAAGAAATGAGAGCTTGAGCAGCTTCATCATCTCCTAAAAACCTCCATTAAAACCACAGGATTTCTCCAGTCGTTGAACAATCAAACATCAGAGGTTGTCCAGTAATGAATCCTGGGTGGAGTAACAGTTTTTTTTATTGTCTATTCACAGAAGCTGCTCAGGAACAAAAAATGGAAAGTTTGAGTGGAGACGCAGTAGGCAGAGAGAGAGAGAGAGAGAGAGAGAGAGAGAGAGACAGAGAAGGGTACTGTAGTGTTCCCGTTAGGTAAGAGGAGGGGAGGAGTAAAAGGAGGTGGAGAGGAGGAGACAGGGAGGTGGGAGTGAGTAAGAGTGTGGGACTGCCGCACAGAGAAGGAAAATATAGAATCCAGCCTTGGACATTCCCAGGCTTAAGGGTGGAAGTCAAGAGAGGGGAGGCCTGTTTTTACCCACTGATGAGGAGAGGAGAGAGGAGATCTGAACTCCTTGGTGGAGATTTGAAGGAGGTCATGGAGGCTGTTGGACTGTAACTGAGGAGGAAGAAAGTTGACTTTTTTTTTCCTGGGTGGAGGATGTGGAAGGGAAGCAAATGCAGGAAAGAAGTTGAGGACTATGTAGGAACTCCAGACTGAAGTCATGGTAAGTTCCTGGGAAGTGCAGTTTTGGTGAACATTGTCCTGAAAAGTTGTGTTGGAAGACATTAAACTTAAACATGAGGTCAGAAAACCATAGCTTTTGAACCTGAGTTTCTCTGGAAGTAAGATAACATAAGATGTTCTGTTACCTTTAAATATTAACACTTTTTAAAATTATTTTATGTATTTTGCAACTTTTGCATTGATTCCCTACTGTCAGCAATTTGCAGTGGCAGTAATTTACAAGGATGTGACGTTAGTGATTCTTGTGGTGGATGTGCAGAGAGGTTTGCAGCCGTAGGAAAGAAGGAAAGAAAAGAGAGCCTCTCTGTTGCATCTCTGGGGACTTTGTTTACCACCCACACCCACTTGTGGTGTGATCGGTGACACACACATACGCACACAGACCGAGGCAGCCAAGCTTGGCAGATGCCAAACATATGCAAAGACACACCAACACCAATCATGAAAATTCAATTAGGAAAAGAAAAGAAATGAACACAAAGCCAAACGTATCGTTCGAGCTTCTGTTGGGTGTGTGTTGGAAAGGGTGGAGCAATTTTGGCAGCTGGAGGGAAAAAGAAAAAGCAGAAAGAGAGAGCGCAATAAATGAGGAGGGGAGGGCGACTCTTCATTTAACGGGAATTGGGCAGCAGCAAGAGTGGTTTCAGTGATGCCGCATTTTCCATACTGGCCCTGGGAGAAAAGTAAAGCGAGAGTAAAAACATTAACAAAAAAATAAGAAAGAAAGCGGGAACAAGGGATGGCATGGATCTTCAGGGAGTGAAGAACGATTTATCTCTTTCACAACGCAATGGGGGAAAGTTTGGAGTTGAAAAGACTAACAGATGTACAAACATGGAGTGGAACCAACTTTGGCAGATCACAATGGTCAAAAGATTGAAATAAAATCTATTGGAAATTATCTTTATCGGACTGATTATCAGAAATAATCGGTCAACATTCTCTTAACCTTCTGTGAAAAATAAATCAAAATGACATCATCATTGTACAAACATGTCTGAGTGCATTAGCTCCACTGATAGCAACAACAGTGTTAGCAGTGCTAAACTAATGCTTAGTATGATGATAGCAACATTAAGAAAAGTTTAGACAAACTGACAGGTGCTTTAGACTGCTGTTAGCATCACTACCACTAGACCAAAGGATTTAGGGTTAGCACACACAGCAAATACATATGCAAACACAGAGAGCCAAGAGTGTGTGGCAGAGGGCATTTTCATTCCCCACGTCTAGTGTGTTGTGCTGGTTAAACTCTAATAGGATGTATTGTAACAGTATTGTTACAGTCCAGACCAGAGAAGAAGAAAAACAAAGTAGTCTGATGAAATTTGTAGCAGCTGTTTGTTTTAAACAGCTTGGAGCCCCGAGTGGGTGGAGATAAGAGCAGCAGAACAATCCGGACAGGGTCAGTGATGTTGTCAGTCACAGGAATCTGTCTTTAACCCAGTTTCCTGTGTTTGTCAGAGGTTGGGCACGTGCAGACCAAGACTGGATGGCATTACTACATGTGCAGCTTTTGTCTAAAACACTGTTCCCACATTGGTTAGAGTTTCCTCATACAATAATTTTATAGGCATCCAGAAAACTTTCTGCCACACAAATCAGAGCTGTAACCTTTGCTGGATTTTATTCTTATTTGGAGCCTTGTTCTCTGTACATTGTTTAATGACCCAAAACTGCACAGCTTTATGAGAAAGTGTTACTACTAACGTTTAACAGTAACTACTGATTTTCAGCAGCAGTTTTGTGGATTTAGGTGCCAAAAAGTTCAATGGATTTTCCATCTATAGGAAACAACATATGTTCAGGATATTTTGTATAGAAGTTGCTCAGTAGATAGGTGACTGGAGTTGATGACTCAAACCATAATGGTCACTGGTTTAAGTCCTGACTTAAGTTAATGGTCACTGGTTTAAGTCCTGACTTGTCCTGAAATGTTTCTGACATTGTCCTACAGTTGCAGAAGAAAATAATTTTTCCAACTTTTACGCCCTCTGAGGTTTTTTTTTTACTTGAATCTTGCCTCTGGGGAACATCGTAGGAAAGCTAAGATATCATGCACACAGTTGGTTTAGGCCAATTCGAACTTGTTTTGTCTGATTTCTCGTGCAGCATCCCCACAGCAGACAGTGCAGCTTAGCCTCAATTGAGGACTGTCTTTCAGTGACAGACTGTTGAGCTTAAGTGCTCAAATGTGAGCCAGTAAAGTAGATAAGGTCTGATGATTCAGAGATAATTTAAAAAAGGAAATGAGCCTTGGACCTTCTTCTCCTTTTGTCTACGGACTTCTTCTGTTCTTTTAATAACCTTGGTCCTCTCTTTACGGTTTCCTCTTTTTTGTTATGTTTCCCTCTAATCATGTCATCTCCCGTCACTCCTTCCATTCTCTTCCTCTTCTGGGACCAACATGTACTACAGTGGGGGTCTTCATCTGGTTTCTATCATGGTAAGCACTGCTTTTTTCCCATCCATGTCTCCCCCTGGTCAGCCTTCTCACCCCCTCCCAGTCTTCTCTGTCTGGGACTTTCCTTGGCTGTCTGGTTCTCTCAGAGAATCAGAGTCAGGTTGTCTCACTGTCAGACATTAACAAGCTAACTCCAGGTCCAAGTGGAACCATCTGAATTCCCCATTTTCCAATCATTTCCATTCCAAAATCTCATCTCTGAGACTGTATTCGTCTTGTCTCTTCCATTTACGTCAGCATACAGAAAAGAAAGACAGGAAGTGTGATGCATGAATGACATTGGGTAGGGTAGGAACTGTGTACTCTGAGTACTTTGGCGACAATTATGAGGATACACACTCATCCAGTCTGGGACTTGTACTTAATGATCCTACTGAGGTCAAGCTCTGTTTTGGTGATTCAACTTCCAGAGGATTTCAACAGAACAGCCAAAGTCAAATCTTACCTATTGGGATAAATAATGACAAAAATGAAACCAAACCAAATCAAATGGTCACAAACGTCTACTGCGACCAGGGAGATATTCACCCAAAGTACTACTACCCACTGTGCCTTATCATGTATTTTCCTTTAAAAAGAAAAAAAAGAGACTTTTGTGTATTTTTTCAAAGCCTTTGACACCTGCTGCATTATCTGATGTGGAGCCGTCCAATAGAATAATGACTTGGATTCACAGTATGATTTCTCAAAGAGTGGGCTAACAGCTACCAACAGAAGGGGCAACCAGATTAAACAGACTCTGTTGGAGGAGGAAGTTCCCATTGACTTGCCTCTGACCCCTCCCACTCCCCCACCTCCCCTGCAGGGAGTTTTACTGGACTCAATATGTTCTGTCACTGAGCCAAAGGGACGTTTGAACCTCTATTTACAGCGGCTACACCTACACACTACTTCAACACCAACCACGACTGACTGTTTGACCATGGTCTACAACTGCAACACTGTACACATGGTGTATGCAGTAGACTTGTTTCACAACAGGGTGAGAATCATAATCAAAACAAACACATTTGATGATATATTCATCATATTTGTATGTTTTTGTAAGGGTTTATAAAAGAACAGTAAAGACTTATCAATAAGTCAACTGCAGCTGGTCTGTATCCACAAGCTAAGTACAATGTTTGGGCAGTCTACCAAGAGGTTATGGCACAAAATTACCAGGCCAACTAGTATTACATGCCAATAAATCATTAGGACTGTATGCTGGTGCACTAAAGAGTTTTTATGTAAAATCACAAGCATTGACTATTTACATTTAAATAGATTTAAAAATGTATACGTTTATACTTAGAGTTGGTACTGAAGTTAAAACCAACAACTTAACTTCCAAGAAGTTCTTTTGATTGGATTCAGTGACTGAATCACTCCTGGAAAACTGGGCCGCGTTTTTTTTTGTTTGTTTGTTTTTTTGACCCGTTGTGCATCTTCTATCCAAAGTTCCCTGTTCCTAAGGTAGAACAAATCCACCTAAATCTGAGTCCGGTGCCACTTTGGCCACTGCTGCTGTAAGGGTTCGGTGGTGAAGTCAGGGATGAAAAATTCTGCTCCACAGCCAAGAAATAGAGCAGAAAGGAAACAGAACCTGACAAGGTTGCCAAGAACGACTGAGCTCACTCTGCCTTCAGTCTCCATACTGTACCTCCCTCCAGTTTGGGGAAAAGACTCAGGCCCCAACATATACTTGTGCATGGAAAACTGGCTTTCTATTGTATGTTATAAACTTATTTTGGAATTTTCCTTTTCAAGCTATTGTGAAGCTGGTAATTAAGAAAGGTTTTGGTAACGTTTTTTACACTTGGTCTATTGAGAACTTCCAAGAACATGTCCAAAACATTTGATCTTTTTTTTTTTTACAGATTTTTTAGGCTTTTTCTATTTTTAGGTATAATTCTAATTCTAATGATTTTAATTATAATTTTCTTAGGTCATATCTCAGACCTACTTGCTGTATCCTCATGGTCCAGGCACAACACACTATTCAAAACCTTTCCTTATTTTCCGATCTGTTTTGGATCTGTTGAATTTAATTTTTCCTCTTCAGACAAAGTTGCATAACTTGTGGTCCACAGAAACACTGTAGTTTGTGTTTTACTCATTCTGTCCTCTCCTGTGGTGAGCCACAACCCCTCTGCACACAAAATCCAAACCAGCATCCCTCCAAAAATTAGTTTTCAAACACTTTTGAACCTGAGTCTTCTTCCATAAACTCCAGCACTGGCTCCAGATCATTCTCTCCTGGCTCTGCTCTTTTCTTTTTCCATACACACTGTTCTCCCATCCCGTTTTTTTCCTCCTATTGAATTCATCCCTTTGGTGATTGTAGTCATTTGGCCCAGCGTAATCGTTATCAGATGATGTTGGGGGAGTCAAAGGGAGGCGAAACAAGATTGGCTTTAAGAAGAGGAAAAATAAGAAGTGGAGATGTGGGGGAAAAGACACCCAAAAAAGAGTGGTGGGAACTGTCAGGGATGTTAAGATGAAGATTGGCATGAAAATATGAGAGAAAATGTAGAAAGAATCAGAGAAGTGGGAAAAGAGGGAGGGCTAAAAATGTTAAGGTTGTCATAGCAACAGTCAGTGTAGAAAAATAAACAGTTTTATGTGAGCTATTGGATCACCCTTCAACTCAATCTGTGTTTCAGACTATGAGGACAATGGGTGGCTGTAAATTTTCACATAGGAATATTTCTAGTAGGTCCTCAAAATGATTTCTTTAAAACTCACAGTTAAAAATGCATTATTTATAGATGAAAATTCATGTGTCCTTAAAGCTGCAAGATAATGTGCAAATTATCTTTACAACCAAATCCCATATATACAATGCATCGTTGTGAAAGCAAATCCAGTAAAGTAGTGAAAGCCAAAGTAGAACTAGAATATAACACCAGAAGCCCGACCCAGAATCAATAGACAATAGTGAAAACCATCTTTAATTTAGAGAGAAATTAATTCTCTTGAATTCATAAAAGCCATAAAATGTCACCATATGGTCCTGGACACCTAACAAATTTAGAATATATTCAATGTAAAATTAGCTTAGGATTGTGTTTAAATACTGTATATAAAAATGGATAAGACATCATCTTTTTAGCCAAAAAACTAACCAAGAAGACAGACGAGTAGCTAAATATTGTAGGCTAAATCTGAGAACAAAGAACAAGCAGAAGGTCAGCCTAGAATATAATCAAATGTAACCCTAAACACAACAAGCCGATATTAGGCGGAAAATAAAATTACAAATTGATACTAAAAATAGCTGTGAATTAAAGTATAGTTAAAACCAAATGTCTGCTGTACCTGATGTAGCTAAATCTCAGACAGAAAATATATAAAATTAGCCAAATCCAAGAATGAACCTAATGGAAAAACCACTGGAAGTAATCAAAGAAAACAAATTAAATAAAAGGTGTAAAAAATAATAATAATAACAAAGGTCAGTCCAACTAAAGTTAGTGCAGCAGGAGCTAACGTTAGCCAACAGACAGAGAAAATATTTAATAACACAAAATCCTAAACCCCTAAAATCAAATCCATTTTAGCAGGTCTTTACCTCTCTTACTGTACCAGGCTTTTTGATGGTAAACATTTCCTTTTAGCAAAATCTAGTTTTAGGATTTAGTCTAAACTATTAGCATTTTAAAAATAAGGGATCATAGAATCTTGTTGGCAAAAATGAACATGTGCACCTCTGATGAAATATGTTGGCTGGATTAAGTTTCTGGTTAGTCAGTAAAATAGGCTTAATGGTCGGGGAAAGGTTGGGGTTGGCTCAATAGTTGAGGCTGTTCTGATTATGGAGTCCAGGAAAGTGATTTGAGGGTCCTCATAACTACTGATAGATAAGCATGTGTGTAACCAGGAGTTAATGTTGCAGTGGTTCCTGGACTCTTTTGTTCTGGGTGTTTTTACATTTCTTGGTCATGGAGGAAATGTTTGACACTCCCCAGACCATACAACAGGAAGTTGAATGTCAAATACGTGTGAGTGTGTGTGTATATATTAGTTTGTGTGTGTGTGTGTGTGTACGCATAAGATTGTGTGTCAGCAAAAAGTGAAACACGTCGGCTGTTAAACACAAACACAGACATCAGAGTTGATTCAGGGTCTGCCTATGAATTAACCCTTTCTTACCGTCTGTTTATCTGTTTCTTTATCCTCTCAGGGTTCGGAGGCGATGGAGGACTGCGTCCAGGGGGCACTGTCGTCACTTTATCCCCCTTTTGAGAGCACAGCGCCACCTTTACTCTCCCAGGTATAGACATGTGTGTATTTCTGTTAAAATAAAACATGCAGCGACAATTGAATCTAGAGTTAAAACAATTGATTCTGACATTAATAACTGGGATTTCTAGTTATTTCGTCATTGTGAAATTCAGCTTTTAAATCATAAAACCATTTTAAAATGTACACATACATAAGGGGTGTTCATTTGTACAAAGTAGAAAACAAACATACAAATTGATTATTATGTTGTCCCACAAATTCCACGCAGCCTTCACCAAGACGTCTTACTACTGAAAAGACACCTTGTAATGGATTATATGATGGTTTTCTAGTATTAATTCCTGATGACATGCTGTGAATTTTTAAGCATTCCATGGGCAAATTGTGTTTCATTTTCTTAAGATTCTCAAGGGTGTAGAAAAGTGATGTAATGTTGTTAGAACTGTAGTTTTTCCAGTCGTAGGTCTTAAATCACATCTTTTACCGTATACAGCAGAGTTTTTCCCACCGCTTTCTCCTCAATTTCTTTCTCAGGTTTTCTCAGTCCTTGAGTCAACCTATCAACATGACAGTCTTCGCTACCTCCTGGACTACTTTGTTCCTGCCAAGCACCTCCTGCACAAACTGCAGCAGCATGCCTGTGTGAGTCCCAACCCCAAAGAACCCTCTGAAAACCAGAACAGACACACACATAACTCACACACACCCTTAAAGGCAAATCAAACTTTAAAAAGAGTTGCCTTTACTGTCTTTTGTAGAAAAACTACTTTGCAGTTTTTGTTTTTTGAGTCCTCTAGTGGTTTAAGTCAAGACAAGTGATTAGTCAAGTCCTGTGGCTAAAAGTCAATGGGGATATTTCCACGGAAAAGACTGGAAAAACTGGGGCCAATTTAAGCCATGAATCCAGTTGAACCTAAAAAAAAAGTCTGTTTTGGTCACTTTTAGATAGTGTTAGAGCAGATAGGCAGGAAATGTAATTGGAGAGAATGGGAGTGACAAGCAGTAAAAGGTCCAGCTGGCTTGGAGTCCAAGTTGGGGCCCGCTGTTTAGAGTGCATGTCTACACATGTAGCAGCAAAAGCCTTTTTATTCAGCATTAAAGTCGGCCTGACTTTGTTGGTGTTTGAGCTGCTTGAGTCGATTTATATAAAGAATAATGGTGCAAAGAACAAAAATGACTAGAGGAGAAAGGTTGGTATGTACCAGCAAGGTAACTGCAATATTTCATTATCAAAGTACTGGGATCTTCTAGCACTGGGCACACCTTTGCAGGAAGAGTGGTTGGTTGGCATCAGTTGGCGTTGTTTCCTGCACAAAGTTGGTTCATACAACTGCTTTATCGTGGTTTGATCTGTCTCTATTTGCTTCATGAACGTGTTTTAGCGAAGTGAACACTGAAACTCTACACAGTATGTCTCTTAATTATACTTTAGAAGTATTTAGAAGTATCATTTGTTTTGGCTTTAGAATTTGGCATTCTAAAACATCTGACATGTTTTTCTGTGATCACATCACTCAGAAGGGTCCCTAAAAGCTCTGCCTTCATTGGTACCTTGTGTTCAAAAGTGCAGTCAGACATGCAGCAGAGTGTAGCACCTGGTCACATGAAGAGCCCTCCTGTGCATTAAGGGAAAGTTCAAGGCATGCATTATATGTCACATGCATGACCCCTCTTTACGAGTCGTTTAGCTACACTCAGGAGGGTCCGGTCTCAGAAAATCTTTACTGGTTAGTAAAATGAGTGAAAGTATCTGGTGAAATCTGAGACCCTCCAGCATATGTCACACTTCAGACAGAAGTAGTTTCCTGCGTCAGGACCTCCAATGATGAAAGAAATTTACAGAAGTAAAGAGACTTTTTGGCTGCATATTTAATCTGAGCAGGACCATTGGTTGCACTAAGCCAACAGTGTGCAATCAAGCAGCTTGTCGTCATTGTTTCTAAGACTAAGGAAATAAATAAATACGTCATAATTTTTCCATTTTTTTCTGAGACCCACTACAGCTAAACAAACACAGTTTTGGAACATCTTTCTCAGATTTCCGAGTTCAGATTTCCTACTGTTACACTCAGACGTGTGCAGCCATTGTGAGCAAACTGTGTTTTCATTGTCGCTGTAGACGGGAGTTAGACTGTGAGTCACGACAATAATTCCTTCCATATGTGAGCGTGTTACTGCTGAGAGAGAAAGGGAGAAAGAGAGGGAGAAAGAATGAGTAATGGAGGAGGAGGTGGAGGTTGAGGAGTGGGAGTTGAAGACAGAGAGGGAGCAAACATGGCATTCATTCATGGGGCTGCTGGCGTGCGCGTGCATGCACGGCCGTGCAAGAAAAAAAACATTAGATGCTGGATGTTGTGTAGATTATAGTAGACTGATTGAGGATTTTGGGAGGAATGGGAGGTGGGGGACGAGGAAACAAAACACTGGGGATCATTGAGGGAGAAGGAGGCAGGAGGGAGGAGTGCTGGTGCATACTGGGAGTTTACAGAATGTTGCACTAACTCAGAAGAGACAACGTTTTTTTTGTAGGAAAAGGGGTAAATGTTTTGAAGTAAGCTTACTGTTAGAGTTTCCCTTAAACAGAGACAAGATGGCGCTCATAAAGGACAAATTAAACAAAAGAGAAAGCAAACGGGAGACAGACATAAGGCCAGATGGAGGAGAGGTTGAGTAGGGGACTATAATTTGATCAGGTCTCATGAGTTTGAAGGGCACGGAGGAGAACGAAGGGGGAGGAGGCACAGCTCCATGTCAGTCGATTAGACGTGACTGGGAAACTGCAGAGGGAGGTTCTGGATTGAGTTTTGTTCTTCAGACTGAGAGAGAGAGTCTGGACATAGATCTGACAGAGCATTGACTAAGGTGGGAACAGTGTTTGGAGGGAGGATAATTAAATCCATCCCTGCAGGGCCCTTCGGCTTGTTGTGGGTTTCTTGTTTATTTAGACACATGTTGTTTAGTAAGTTTTGACCTTCCAGACTACAACAGTCTTTGATGGACGCACAGCTGCATGTCGGTGACTGACTCCCCCCGTAGACAATTCCAGGGACTTCTAACCTCCGTCATGTTAAGCTAAACAGATTTTGTGGCGATCTGGAAAAAAGCCTCACATGCAGATCACATGTCTGACATTTGTGTGCAGCACTGGGCCAGGGCCAGCACAGCTTCTGGATAGCGGTGGTTGGCTCTGTATTAGTTCTAAAAATTAGACTCATCTGAGCGACCAAGCTGAAAGTACAGGCTTGCAGAGCTGCAGCTGGTCGGTGTGGACTGTGGTTTGAGAGTGGGAGTGCATGTTTGTGCATGAGCATTAAATGGAAAGGTTTTGAGGCTGTGAAGGTTTGGAACTGTAGGTCTCCAGGATTGAGAGAACACAACAGTCCAGCCGACAACAAGGAGAGAATTTGCAGATGTGTTTTGTTTTATGCTTGTTTTAAAAATCATATTATGTGCTCTTCTCAGTCTCAGTATATTGGTTGCTTGTTCCTCCACTCCGGTTGGCCCTTATGCCTGGGCGAGAAAGTAGTGGTCCAACTTTCCACCTTGGACTGGAGGCTCCTTCGCTGCAACGACTTCTACCTGCAGGTTGTACCCTTTTCTACACGCTGCCCCCGACTGGCTCTGAAATGTCTGGCACCTGGGGGACGCACTGTTCAGGAGATATTGGTGCCCGAATCGCAGCACCCTCTGGTGTTCACAACTGAGTGGCTGCACAGCATCAATAAAGAACGAGGCCACAAGAGAGAAGGTAGGAACCAGAGGAAAGAATGAGCAGTGTTAGCTTAACTGCTGTTGTGATCATTGTGGTCAAAATTCACTTATAGTATTTCCAACTGCCTGGGGTAAAAAAAAAAGAAGAGGAGTTTGCATAAAAACATTTGTTTAGCACGTAAACAAAGATACTTTGTGTTGTAGACGAAAAACAAAATGACACTCTACTCTCTCATCCTGCACAGTTGGAGGAGGGCTTGACACCTGTCTGGTAAGCACATGTGATGGTGTGCTCCGCCTTCCATGGAAGGAGGTCGTCTACCCAAAATTCATCCACGACCCTTCTGAGGAATTAGGCCTGATGTCAAACTGTGATGGATCCCTGTCCAGCCGTTTGCCCAGTGATGGAGGCAGCAGCCTTGGAGGATGGGGTGGCTCATCATCTGGGGAACCTGACTCCTGGTCCTGGGATGAGGAGGAAGATGATTTACCTCCAGATGGTCTGGAATCTGAGTCTGCACTTCCCCGAAGAAGGCGCAGTGAAGATGGTCTTGGAAGGACAGCTAGACAGCCTGAACTTGATGGAGACTATGTTGAGCTGCTGGAGCCCAGAGGGGGCCCCGATGGAGGAGTTGACCCTAGGCAAAGGTACCTGGAAATGCATGGGATCTCTAAGACCAAGACTTTGCCTCTGTGTAGAAGAGGTAAAGCAATCAAACTCCGAAAGGGCCGAGCTTGGGGGTATGGAAGAGTGGACAGGTCAGGAAGTTTTCGGGCAGTTACCAACAAAAGTGATCGGTTGCTCCCCCAGCCTCCAACAGGAGCAGTTGAACCGGGCAGGGGAAGAAGGTCTTACTCCTCCTCTGTCCAAGACTCTGACGAAGGTGATAAACTGAGAAGGGACTATGAGGCTTTAGAAAGTGGACTTTATTTTGATGGCCAATTCAAAGAAAGAAGACCAGGCGTTGGCAAGGAGCGAGACAGCAATGGGCTTTCACAGCCATGCAGAGATGAACCCAAAAGTAAAGACTGTGAGAGTGGAGACACCTTGGTTACCACCAAAACCCACTACTCAACAAACCACAAATTCGTAGAGGGCCACTCAGATAATGGGTTTCACTCCGACTCAGTTTTTGAGGACACTGACAAACCTCTGAGTGGGGACAGCGATGCCACAACACCAACATCAGACGCACCAGAGAAGCTGTTTACTGGAGTCTCAGAAAGTAAAGAACTTTCTAACATTGACTCCAAAATGAAGAGTACTACAAGCTCTAATGCAGCAGAGGAAGGAGATGAAGAAAAGACAGAGGACAGAATGTGTCCTAGAGGAAAGGAGGTGAAAACTGCAGGATTCAGAGCACCTAGGTAAAGTTTAACTTGAAGAGCCAACGTTTTGATCTTATTAGCTTTCGTTTTCACACTAAGGCATGAAAGAACAGATAACACTTAGGTGCAACATCTGCACAAAGTATGGATTGTCCAAATGTGCACGCGTGTAGACCTGAAACATGTGGTAAAACATTGTTTTTATTATGAGGAATTTTCCTTGCTTCCTCTTTAGGCGAAAAAGGAGGGGAAAGGGGGCCAAAGGAAAAGCTAAGTCTGGTGGCCGAGTACACCAGAGAGGCTTGAAACAGCAAAACAAAGCACCTCAGTCAGGTCCTACCAACCACTCAACCCTAACAAAGCTGCCTATCAAAGAAAAGACCCAGACCAAACCGACAGAGCAGGCTGACAAACTTGATGAAGTGGCCAACGCTGATGATGTGGATACTGGAGACAAGAAAAGCACTGAAGGCATGTAAAGGAAATTGACCAGCAACATAATGTCTGAATAATCCCTTACACCTAACTGTTTGTGTCAATAGGGTCTGAAACCAAATTGTTGCCTGTTTGCAACGGCCAATCAGACACATCATCTATTAATGAGTCTGGGTCAGCGGAGATATCTCCCGATCAAGTGAACGGCGTCATGTCTAAAGAACCTCCATTGCTCAGGGAAGTGGACACTGATCTTCTGCACTCAGGGAAGCTGAAGTTGACAGGTAATAGTCCTTTATGGTTTTAAATTCTTAATCAGTCAACATTAACAATAAACGTCTTGTTTAAGTTGATGTTCTTTTCAGATGTCTATTAAAATACCTTGATCCTAATTTTTATTCTGGCATCTCTTGAACTGGCATGTTACATTCTGCAGGCCCAAAGGCATTGTTGGAAAGAGCTGAGTCTTATCATCTGTCATGTTTCTCTTGCCCCCCCTACTGGATGGTTTTTGTGCTGCTGATATGTCACAGGTACTGTGGACAGGCTGGGACGTGCATTGGTCATCATAGAGAGAGATGAATCACAGGAGGGGGAGAAATTCTGCGAACAGGAGATGGCTCGGGTTCTGGCCTGCTACCACAGAATCACGCGGTAATACTGTGACCAAGCTGTTCAATGGTTTCCCTCTATAAGATATGTCGCAAGCCCTGGAGAAACCTTGAAAATAACTATGTTTTAACTACGTTTTAATGGTTCAACATCAACAATGCTGTGACTACATAAAACACTACTCTATGTAAAGTAAAAAAGAAGAGTGTTCCAAGGGATGCCATACTTAGTTCTTCCAAATATCATCTTGGGTTAATTATTTCAGATTTGGCACAAATGCTTCCTTTGAATCAGGGATCAAGATTCTCTAAGTTTGAGTGGCAACAGGTTTAACAGTCAAGGTCACGCTGACTTAGAAAGTCAAAATCATGGTTTCTCAAGTGTTGAAATCCTTCACGTCAACAAACACTTTTTATGAGTGTGGAGAATCATACATGTAAAAACTAGATGGTAGATTTAGGTCCAGTTCACTCCTGTTCTAACCCTGTGCTCCATCTGTCCTCATCAGGCCAGCTGCCAAAGAAAAAGGTCTCACTGTGCTAATGGACAGCAGACGAGCCCCACCCTCTGTCCACTGCCTCTCTCTCCTTAAAATGTTCCAGGTAAGGGGTGGGGGCTGGGGGAGGGGGGGTGGGGGGTCAAACTGAATAAATGTTTGCTGGTGTGTTTTTAATTTGTCTGCAGATGTGATCAAGTAGCTCAAGCACATGTTGACTTTTTTTGTTTGGTGTACATGTGTCTTCCAGAACTTGGTTCCTGGAGGTCTAGGGTCCCTTCTGGTTTTGGTGGAGGAGCAGCAGGAGTCTTTTTCTCATGATCTGGAAGGAGCTGAGGTGACTTCATGCAAATGACATGTTTACGGGCAAATGCACACACGCTGCTAGAAGCGCAATAATGAAGTGCGTGGGGAAAATGAATGTTCCCCAAAGGAACCTCCACTGCCTAGAATCATAACAACGCCGGCGTCTGTTCATTTACAAAATGCAAACGAATGGAAATAACATTTTATAAACCACATTTGCTTATGTGCGCTGCTAAACGACTCGATGAAAATCAGATGCTCAGAGCTGTGGCTCAGTCTCGGCCCTGATTTCCATACATTTGGCACAGAGCTGGTGTTTGTAAACGACTCCCGCTAAAGTGCTAATTCAGCTCACTGCTCTGTGTTGATGTGCACTCTCTTTCACACAGGCATGAGAACTTTTTTTTTTCTCACCATGTGTTTTGCATTTCAAACCTGGCTCCATAAAAACGCTGCATGTTACAGGGAAATCCTGCCCAACATATTTTAACACTGTTTGGAAAAAAGGACAGAAGTGTTTACTTTAACTGGTGTAGTCACAAAAGGAGATCATTTTTATTACTATATATACCGTAAATTAAATGGTCACACATTACAATACTTTTTAGTCTGTATATGTTATATTACTACTTAGCTTAAAATGACCCTTGGTTTGAATCTAACATCCCCAAGGCTAAAGCATAGTGACATCACTGTAATTTATGTCACTGTCTTAACTTCATTAAGACTTGACTAATTGTGCTTTGCTCTAAATGTTTCCTCCCATCTTTAGATCCACGTGGTTCTGGGAACAACTGTCCTTCAGCAGTATGTGGACAAGCAGCAGCTGCCGGTGGAGATGGACGGAGACTTTGTCCACTGCCATTTAGACTGGCTGACATTCAGACTAGTGAGGGAAATTTCCATTTTTTTACTTTTATTACGTAACTAAAAGGAGAATTTTCCTATGTTTTGTTGTATGGTAGATTATTCTGTGTGTCTTGGAAAATTGGCAGGAAATTGTCACGAGGGACATTTAAATTTGATGACATGTAGGCTTAAACTTCTAAAAGGTTTAGCATTTTTCTCAGAGTCACTGCAGTCGAAATATCTTGTCTTTTCAAAACAATCAAGCCTTTCTTCCTGAGTTCAGTTGCTGCTAACATTGCTCACAGCAGCCCAGACGTACAGGTCTGAGGGAAGTAAAACAGGTTTAGTGCACTGTAATTAAAACTATCCGCAGTAAATGTAAGAAAAATCAGCAGTAAAAGTGAGCACTTAGGTTATGACAGTAGAAGGTCCAGATAAATGAGGTCAACTTTGGTGGTCAGAGTTTCACAGATTTACAGGAAGAATAAATCAAGTCCAACACCAGAAAAAAACTAAACGGAAAAGGCACTTAAAGGTTTTTGCCTGCAGACAGTTTATGTTGCAGTATCCAAACAAATCGAAACAAGTTCCTCTTCATGACCTTTTTCATGAAATTTCTCATGGATTGGAAAGGATTTTGGAAGAGTCCCCTCTCTGCCATGAGTGTCTTGAGCTCTTTGTTTTTGATGAGATAAATAAAAATCCATTCTCACAAGCTCTTGTTTTTTTTTCCCTTCAGAGCCTGGAGAGTTTGACTGAACGTTGTGAGAGCGCCCTCTCACTGCTGGATGAGGCACTGCAGTCCATGGAGGCTCAGCCAATGCCGGACAACATCAAGGTTTTTTGATGTTGTTTTAAACCACACAAAAATAAATAAAACCTCAACAGACAAATTAAAGTTTTGCTGTTTGCTTTCTCTAGAACGTTCCTCTGAGTATTGACAAACACCGACAGCTCATGGCCAATGTCTTGGCTGACCAGCGGTTAACGGAGCTGCAGCAAAGGGGCGGAGCCTGGCTTGCAGGACTGACCAATAGCTCGTCTAGACTGCCTCAAAAGTCACCAGACTGCAGGTAGGCCGGTGACCTGCTTTTCTTGTCCAGATCAAACCAGCTGAGACTAAGTCATGTCAAAAAGCAGATGAGTTACAGGACCATGATACACACTGACAACCAAAGAACCAACAATAAGACAAGTCATGGACTGTCAGGTGGAAAGTCCAGACCAAAATCACAAGTCAGGGACTTAAAAGAAACAAATACAATACATCAGTTTTACGTCTTTAGTACTAATTGAAAAAATGTCTTAGTGGTAAATTTATCATTGACATGATGTCACAGACCAGATGTAGGAGGTTCGTAGGCTGAAGTGTCCTCAGCCGCTGCTCTGGGACAATGACAGATATACACCGCCAAACTACTTTGGGAGGTAAAGAATCCTTGACGTAGAAATGAATTATAAACATAAAAACACAGTACACAGGCAGCAGATGTGTCTCTGGAGACAGAGCATGGCTCTACATGTCTTCTCCCACCAAAAGTCTGGTCCCCCAGTCAGACAAAATAATTAGTTATTGGACCAGTTACTGGTTAAATCCATTAATCATCGTGGAAACAAAGTTGTTTGTTTTCAAATAATGAAAACCAGCTGGAGGAGACCAGAGTCATAGGGTGATTGTCTCTCAAGGATGATCTAAACTCTGATGCATTCGCTTTTCCTCCAGTGGAAGAATGCTTTTGGCTCAGGGTGTAAGAGGAATGTGACCAGTGGACATTTTGAGGGGCAGGTCCACTGCGAAAAACGAGCGACACATGGAACCGTCGGCTGCCGTGTTATTGATTTAGTAACGCCAAACCCCCGTGTGTTGTTAACAGTTTGTTGACAGTTTTTAAGATTTTTTAAATGAAACTAGTGGAACAGTTCAAATTTAAAATGGGAGACAGTTAACCTGACTCGACACTGATCTTCTGTCTTCCATTATGGGTTGAGGATGTACATCTGCCTCCACATCCTCCTGGCTAACAGAGACCAGAAGTTAAAAAAGAAGACAAAAAAAATCTTCTTTGTGTGGTAAAATGGGTTTTTGTTGTTGTATCAGGGCTGCTCTTGCTGCAACCTCCAAACTCTACGACAGCGTGGATGACGCCCTGCATGGATTGGTCCGAGTTTCCAATCAGAGGGGACGGGACCTGGAGGCCCTTGGACGACTAGCGGGACTGGTGAACAAACTGGACAAGGTGTGACAGTGAAGAAGGGGGAGAAAAGCTCGGGGCAATTTCCTATTTTAGTTCTCTTTTCCATATGACTTGAAGGATCAGTGAATAAAATAAAAAAATAAAAAGGAATCTGATATCAAGTTCTTATTAGTAGAGGACGGTCACCCATGCATGCATCCAACTTAAGAAATTTCCTCACATCAGATACTCATCTTCCATTGTGCCAGTTCATAGTTAAAAAATAATAAAAGCATTTTATGTGTAATCTTAGTTTTATCAAAATTGGCTCTGTCTATGCCAGTGCCAGTTAGTTAGAATAAAGCTAAACTAGCTAAGAGTGTTTAAAATTCAACAGGAATTTTTAAATTAATGTTTTTAAATGAATTGTTTAAAATGCACTTCTCCAAATGCACATTTAACCTGATAAAAAAACTCAGTGCCTTGTTTTAAGTTTCACTCCCACATCTGTTGCCTTTGTTCCTCCTTTGTACAGAAGAACATATCTCATGTCCTGTTCTTCTAACTGCGTTCCTTCCTAACCCTCCGTCTGCCTGTTCTATTTCACAGTGTGATAAGGAGATTGAACGAGTGCAGTCACAGCTGGAGGATTACAAGGAGCCTCCACTGTCGCTCAGCAGACTTTCACTGAAGCAGCAGAAGTTTAAGACATTCCGAGAAACAGCCAACGTGAGTGCTTCAGCTCGGTCCAGTGCAAAACAGATGATATAATCTGTTTTCAAATTTTGTAGATTATGAAGGAAACCCAGAAATAAATACAGCTGTATGTTAAGTAAAGTGCAAGCAAATAAATAAGAGTTAAATCTGAAATACCATGAGCTCAAACTAAAACATTCTGAAAAAAACAAACAAAAAGGAAACATAAAAACATGGACATTATGTTAGCTATCTTAGCTGAGTGACAGTCCAAACAACAGCTGTATTAGTTCAGAAGAAGTGATCATTTAGTCCAGCCATGAAATGTTCCAAGTTGAATAAAGATAATTTCACAGATAAGACTCTTACCTTTAGCAGCCTTGACTTTCCAAAGTCAGAGACTTATGGGACAGGGGATCTTCTTGACTCTTCTAGGATCTTCACAGTGAGACACTGTCTGTGCTCAACGACTTGGAGAACTGGTGTGAGCTGGACTGGGTCGGACTGAGTGAGGTCCAGATCCGTCTTCCTCCAGTGAGAGAGAAGCTGAGAGACATGTCCCACTGTCTGTCCGACTGCTGGACAACACTGGACAACACACAGAGGCTGCTGTCCACGCTGACAGAGGTGAGACAACACAACATGTGTTAGACACCAGATGTCCTCAGACACCAGATGTTCTTGAACACATTTGTACTGCTGTATTTCTGTGATAGAACCCTTCCCACCAGTGGTTCCCAATGGGGACTGTGCCCACCTAAAGGAGCATTAAGATGTTAATGCGCCACTTAAACATTACACACTTACCTTTCTTCTCTCTCGTCTCTCGTCTTTCGTCTCCACTACAGGCCACTCAGTGGTGTGATGCAGTCTCCACCACCTCCTCCTCTCAATCCCAAACAGTAAACACCTGCCCCCTGGCGTCTTTACCTCCAATACCCCCATCACGCTTCCAGGATGCTCGGTCCCTGGCCATAGAGCTGGGAGGTGGGGCCCTGCTGGACCTGTGGACCCAGACTGTAGAACGTTACCAGAAGACTGTAGCGCAGGTGAAGCCTCGGTTCCTTCAGACAGACAGGGGCCATAACCAGGGTCAGGGCAGACCTAAGACTCCCTCTGCCAACAGTCTGTGGGATCTGATGGGTCAAGAGGGAGAGGGAGACTGGGGTCTGGGAGCTGGAGGAGGTGATGGGGGGCTACAGTCCTGGGGATCCTTGGCATCACTGTTCAGACCACAGACCTGCTCCACCCTGAAGATTGGAGAAGATAAGGGGAGTAAGAAAGATGGAGCAGGAGGAGGAAGTGGAGGAGGAGCAGGAGGAGGAAAGTTCCTGCAGAACCTACTGAATCCTGGGAAGAAAAGTGTGAGTTCTATTTTATCAAATCCGAAATGGTTTTCCTCTAGAACCAATTCATCAAATATTGTAGCAATATTTTGGCTAACCTTTATGTGCGTTTCTGATTTCACCTTAAACCTTTTTGTTGTATCTTAGAATAATAATAAGCTAATTAGCTAATGTAGGCTACTAACATTTTGCAAAATCTCTACTGAACTTAACCTAAACAAACCCTGGCTATTAGTGGCTGTACTTTTTTGGCAAGAGATCTCTATTTACAAATCTGATCTACTGTGCTATATACACTGCTACAGTGGAACCTCGGTTATCGAACGCCTCCCTTTTCGAACAGTTCGGTTCATGAACAGAATTTTCAACCAAAACTCGGTTGTTGAACAAGCCAACAATATCAGGTGGGCAGGAAGTGATCCCTTTGCTATTATAGCACATGCTATTACTTCTATTTTTTTTATTAAATAAATCACCATGGGAAAGAAAAGTAGTGAGAACAACAATATAAGTGAAGAAAGATTATACTGAAGCAGGAGAATGGCCCTCGTGTTTTAGATCTGGCTTTACAGTACGGCTTAGTGAAGTTGTTGATTTGTACTACTGATGCTACTGATTTGGATTATTGAAAAGCAGTTGGCTGAAACAGTATTTCAGGGACAATAATTGGTGAGAAAGCGAAGCGTCCAATCACGACTCCTCATTACCAGTAAGGATGAATGAAATTGTCTTTCTTATAGCTTTTTTCAGTTGTGTTTATCTTTTGTTGTTAGATCTAATTATTTTCATTGGCTTCCTGTGTGAACCTGTACAAAATGTTGCTTAAAAAGTTTGAGCAAACAATCATCCAGGGTCCAGGAATGGATTAATCCATTTTACACTGATTCCTATGGGGATAAAATGGTTTTAGTTTTTGAACTTTTCAGTTCACGATCAGCCTTCAGGAATGAATTAAGTTCAAAAACCGAGGTTCCACTGTACATATATATATATATATATATATACATTTTTTTTGTTAATATATTCTGATATTTGTCTGTGATTCATTTCTTTTCACTGATTGTTCTTCAGCATTATTATTATTTTGACAGCATCAATGTTTGGTTTATTCGTCATCTCTTTCCTCTTTCAGCCAGAGGCCTCACTCCCCACCAAACCCCCAAGAAAACGACACCCTAGTTTTGACCTCCAGGCCCTGCTGGCACCACGCAGAGGTGCTTCCACCCCTAAAACCCCCGAGTCTCCAGTGGTCGGAACTAACCGGAACTCCCCCATGTCGTGGTTGGGCAGACGGACATTGGCCGACCCAGTTATTGCAACTGGGATGGCAGCAGCTGTACCAGGATGGAGCAGCGGTGGAGGAGGAGGAGCAAGTGGAGGCGGAGGGGTGTTGATACGAGGAGTGGAGGTCAGCAGTAAGGAGGTGGTGGACCACACAGGGTCGCCGAGGCAGCACGTGCTTCTGGGAAGGACAGAGAGGGAGACGGGCACAGACAGAGCCGGGTCAACCACTCAAAGGTTTGACTTTACTTCCGTTTCTTATACAGTTTTTAAATGTTTGCAGTGTTAGATAAGGCTGAAGTTAAAGTGTGTGGAAATTGTCAAAATAATAATAAAATCAACATCAAGTGCTAAAAGTTTGACTCAGTGGAAAGTCAGCAAAAAAAAAAAGTTTCAAGTCAAGTCCAGATAAAGTTTCATGACAAAGTGAGCATGTTCAATTAGCCAGTAGTATGCTGTGTACAATCTCGTCTGGGTAAACAAAGCTACCAGCAATCGTTCGCAAATGCTCTTATCTCAATTTTAAAACAAGAATCCACATTTTTTAAGCCAAAAACTATTTTCCACTGTCATTTACCTTATTTTTTGCTTTATTTTGCAATATAGCGAACATTACGTGAGATCGAATTTAAAATAAAAAATCTGTGACGTACTGAGGGAGTGAAAGGAGAACCACGATATAGAGAGGGAACACTGTACATAGGGTCAAGTTAAGGCCAAAGTCACTGAGATTCAGTCAAGTATCATTTAAGTCAGGGTCTGTATCACTGAAGAAATTCAAGTTTGATTCAAGTCTGAGTCCAATTCCTCAAGCATTTTAAACCTGCAGGTTAGAGAAAAGGCTTTGTATCCAGTGTTTCAAGGCAGAGATTGAGTCACAATCCTTAAAATCGAGTCAAACACTGCAATCAGAACCTAGTTACGTTCTCAGGGTTCCTGTGGTCCCTGAAGAGAAATTAAACGTTGATTAAAGTTTGATTTCATAAGATAAGTCTAAGTCCTCTTATGATAGTTGCAAATCTGTAGCCTTAGACATCACTGCCTCAGACGCACAGGGCCTTTAAATATGCAAAGCAGAAGTGAATTAGGTAAAAGGTCTGCCTGAAATCTAATAAAGAGGTGATTCATCCTCCCTGAGCTATTTCAGGCAAACTGAAGTCAGGCTGATTCCATCAGTTGGCATCAAATCAAACACCATTTTGTTACAATGTGATGTGTGATTTCTGCCCACTTGTTAAACCCTTTACTCCCTTTTCTCCTCTTGTTCATACCTTTCTTATCTGACTCATTCCTCCTTTTTTCTCTCTTGTGTCTTCCTGCGGTCTGTCCTCCAGTAAGCTCTACCTGCTCTGGTGCCGTATGCTCAGTTCAGAGAGGCAGTATGTGACTGTGCTCAAGGGCGTGGAGGAGACATACCTCCCTCTGCTGGAGCTCTCAGACACTCCAGCCCCTATCAGGGGCAAAGGCGAATCCCTGTTCCCCAACTGGGCCGGCCTGAGCTCCTTCCACTCGCAGAACCTTCTCCCTGCCATGGAGGGCGCTCTTGTACAGAGCCTGCTGCAGCAGGACTGCTTCAGCAAATACGTAAGTACACAATAGATCCTGCCCCAATTGTTGCGGTTCCACTATAGATTAGGTTTCCTTCTCAAATCACATCACATTAACAATTTTATAGAAAAACCAAGATTGGCAGAATGCAGCCCACTCTAAAGAACACAGCCATGAGTCATCATAGCACATTTCTTGCACAAATCCATATATTTTTAAAGGACTCCTTTTCCCACAGAAAGACAAGATGAATCCTGACTAAAGGCTAAATACTTTTCTATTGATCTATTTTTTCCCCTATCACAGAGGGATCAGTTTCTCCAGTATTCACACTACATCAGAAACAAACCAGAGCTGGACTCTCCCCTGGTCACACAGGCGGCTGAATTTTTTAAGGTAAGATTTCTTAACCAGGAATGTGTGGAGTTAGCCAAATTAGCTAAAACTGCTCACAAAACACAACCTGTTTTTTACTTTAACAGTGTAAAGAACAATAAAAATGATAACTATGTCGAGGTCACTTGGTTCGCTGTTTATTTCCCAGAAAATGAGTGTGAGACCATCACAAAGACTGAAAAGTAACAGTGGCAGCAATTAAACCTGAACTGTACAAAGTTAAAGTAATTACCTGTTCTGCCTGCAGTAGAAAAACCCATTAAAGAAAAATTATCCAGGAAGTAATTTCTGCTTGCGTGCAACAATTAACTCTAACTAATGTGTCGGCACAGTCTTGAGATTATTTTTAAAAAATTACATATTTAAGTCAGGGAGGAGCAGTTCTTTTATATGGCCACAAGGGGGTAGTAGAAGCTGTATAGCAGCAGCAGGTTTTTTAACAGCTTGAAGATGATGGCTGCAGGATGTAGGTTTATGGTTACTCTGACGACAATGGTGATAAATGTGCGACTTAGGTTAAATGATGACGATGATGGTGATGATGACAGTGATGATTGTTACCGTGAAGAACAGCCTGTCAGGAACCAGACTGGAGGGAAATTACCAGGAGCAGTAGCATGTGAAAATAAATTGGGGCCTTTAGGCTTTGGCGACTGAAACTGAAACTGTGTTTTCATAAAACTATTTCCAGATCTGGTCTAAAAACACCAAAGGCCCAACTGCTCCTGCTGTGGTACTAGAGACTTCTTATATTGAAGTGTTAAGATGGAAACTGCTCAGATTTGACCAGGTTTCTACCAAAAGGTGTTTTGTTTACATCTTGATTCAAAGTGAGCATGGTGTAGTTAGATAAAATAACAGTGTTGGTCAAAAATATGCAAATAGCTAACAGTTAGCCAACAGACAAATGTAAAGAAAATAACATAAGCAACAACAACAAAAAACGGTTCAAAAAAGGGATAGAAGTTAAATATTAGCTGGAGACAGCCAAAGACCAGAAGAGATAAAGGTTAGCCAAAAATGAAGGTTAAAAACAACAAGTTAGACAAAATTGTTCAAAATAGCTATACGTTAGCTAAAATTAGCTCAAGAATAGCTAATGATTAAGCAAAAATAATAATAATTAGCCTATTTTAAGCTGGAGACCCCATGACGTCTAACACATCTCTACTCTCTCACACTCCTCCCCTCTCCTCTTCCTCCCTTGTTGCAGTCCAAACTCCCCGCTGCCTCCCCTCTGTCCCCCCTCTCCTTCCCTCACTGCCTTCAGGCTCCCACTCAGCGCCTGGAGCAGTACTGTGAGGCCCTGGAGGAGCTGGGAGGGCTGAACTCCACCTCTGACTCCGCCCTCTCCATCCTCAGACACGCCCAGCGGCACGGCGAGGACCTCCGGGCCAGTGACCTCATCACCGGATGCCCGGTGAGAACGCCTGTCCCAGTTTAATGACTGAGCCCCACTTTCTTTCCTCAGAGGGAACAGGAAGTGAGATGAGGTCAGGACAGTAAAGGAGCGAGGTACAGAGACTTTCACTGAGGCTAATTATGTCGTTATCATTAGACGTTCAAGGCTTTAAATACAAGACTAAAAATGAAGTTCTCAGACAGATGTTTAGAAAAAAAATGAGGCACCATTTGAAGTATGTGAGATGGGATGCATTTATAAGAAGTTGTGATGGAGAAATTCCAAGTAGACTGGATGTTTGGGTAACGTACTGACAGCAGAACTCTTGTTGGTCTGATTTAAGCTCTACATTCGACTACTATTTTTGGGATTTTTCTAGCTATAAAAAAACACACGTTTTGCTGTTAAAACAAGCCATTTCCTAAAAAGTCCTGCATGGCATGCTGGATGTCCAGAGCTCCACTGGGACAACCTGGTGTTTAACAAGTCAGGACACAGATTAGCAGCTGTGTGCTGGACGTCAATGACACGGTGACCATCAAGCACAACAAGAGGTGTTGTCCTCTGACCTCAGTGTCTAAGTCACTTCTCATACAAATACTGTAACAGCAGTTCAGATAAAGGATGAAGGACATGAGGGGAAGATGACAGTGTCACTTACATGTGTGTGATTTCAGACTCCAACGTCAGAGCGCGGTGATCTGGTTCGTCAAGGCGAGCTAATGGTGTGTGGAGGTGCCCGCAGGAAAAGGACAGGCATCAGGAATGTTTTCCTGTACCAATACGTGATCATTTTCACCAAAAAGAAGAGCCCTGGGCCGGGACGCATCGCCTACAGCTACAAACACAGCATCAAGGTGTGACAAGTGTTTCTTCTTTCATTTTCTTTTTCAAGTGGCTGAACTTTGGTCTAAAAGAGGGATTACAAGTGAAAAATGATCTGTATTTCCCAACATAGACCAGTGAAATGGGTCTGACCCAGAGTGTTGGTGAAGACGGGCTCAAGTTTGAGGTCTGGGTTCGTCAGGCTCCAAGAACCAAAGACTGTGTCACGCTGCAAGCACGGGACAGGGAAGACAGGCAGGCCTGGACCCATGATGTTGCCCAGCTACTGTGGACCCACGCCATCAACAACACAGGTACAGTGTAACCTACGACCCCGAGGCCTAACACTGGGGCACCGTTAGGAAAAGCGGACAAAAAGTTCTCACCAAAGTTGTTTCAATTTGTAAAAAAAATATTTTAGTTGTTTTTTAGGTTAAACAAAAATATTTCTATCTGCTTGTGTTTCATCATTGTCACAGCAAAACAACATGATGTCACTGTTTCTTCTACTCAAAGAACCAACAGTATTCAAAATAGATGATAGGCTAAGCAGCTGGCTCACAAGGTTACTTCAGGCACTTGAAGCACTTTTGTACATTTGCATTTTTTTTACTGTAAATATCTTTTCAGGAAAGTTTGACTTCTTATGATAATACCTTTTTAAACTGTAGGTACAAAATATTTGCAGATTTTCTCCGCGCTATAATTGTTTTTGTCCTTTGTACCATTTTAGTCGGGAACCCTCATCTGTAAGACAGGAAGTTTAAAGGCCACTTTCCCAAAGTTCAGCCTAAATGTAAACAAAGTTGGATGAATTCTCCTCATGTACTTTAGTTTTCAAAGCTTCTGGTGTTTTTGACTTTAAAGGAAACAGACATGTCCTGGTCTGCATGCAACACTTTCCACTGAGTTAAAGAGATAAAAATATCAGCCTTGTTGCTGATTTTTTTATATTTCTTTCCGAGCATAGGTTTCTGCGCTGCTATCACATGTCATATTCTTGTATCTTTGAAACCTTGCATCGCTGCCTCACTCCTTCCTGCCGCTGGCTTAGATTACAGATTACAGTACCACGCTGGACAAGAGGCACTGCAGCTGGCAGAAGACGCGACAGAGGCACTGAGATGTTTCTTTGGTGCAGTTACTCTGTGTTTGAACCGTTGTTCTCACCTCCCAGGGTGGAAAACAAACTGGATTTTCCCACTCGGTGCAGGTCCTTACTGTACACCAACAGAACAACAACCGTCCTTAATTGTTCTTTTACAAAACAATGCACACTTACAAGCTCTGTTCTGCTCAGAGGGCTGCCTCCTACACACCGTGCAGCCTGCAGGGGCTGGGTGGGCCAGCTCTGATTGGACACCAACAGAAGTAAATATTCATTAAATGTGATTGACAGTCTCTCCCAAACACAAAAACATATATGACCAAATTCAGGTGCACGTCATCAAGTGGGGCATGACTGTCCAAGTTACAGAAAGTCCAACATCCAGGTTGGTGTTTCTGACATTTTGATGATGGGAATTGAAGCCTTAAGAGTGCAGTTAAGGTAATGGCGCAGATGTCTGAAAAGTCTGGGTGTTCTCTAGATTATCTGACCCTGTTAGCCTGTAGGTGGAGCAAAACCAGAAGTAAAGACAGGAGAGAACTTTTTGTTATTACGTATTGCAGAGCGTCTAGGAGTCAATTTAAAAAAAGGGTCAGGGTCAGTGAGTGCACAGAGACCAGATCACTGTCCTGGAAAGAACTGTGGTGCAATGACCAGGTCAAACAGTCTTTCCTTAGTCGGCTGATCTGTTGCCAACCCTAGGAAAATTGGAGCCGTAGCAAAGAACACAGCCTCAGTCATGTTTCACCGTGTGACTAGAGAGAATGAGAGTTTTCAGACGAAGGACACAGACCAAAAATTACACAGTGTAATTGGAACTCATCTGAACTCCTTTTCCTTCTACAGAATTATGCCTGAAGGAGTCTCTCTGCATGGGCGTCTCCAGTAAACTGCTGCTGGACGCAACAGGAACTCCTATTTCAGAACTGGACTCCATCTACAGCCTGAACGACAGAGGTGAGGTGCACACATGGACGCAGCACCTTGGCACAATAAAGGCCGCCTGAAGTTTCATCATCTGAACTATCCTTATAATCCAGTGTGTAAAAAGTTGTGGAGTTTGTTGGTGGTACTGAAAACTCAGAGAAAGGAGTCCCTCGTTTTAATGAGTGAGTCAGTGAACTACGGTGGCCTTCACAGAGGGTTAGGGTTAACAACCTTATAATTGACTAGTTGATGCAGTGGGCCCCTGATATAGAACTATTACTGACATCAACCCATTCACAGCTCAACTAAACTTTATTTGAGACACTGGCATTTTTAAAAATACAAATGACTAATGCTTACTCCTGTGTGGAACAATGCAGTGTGCTAAATGTTACACACAGGGTCCTGAAGTTGAACTATTTATAGGGCTATTGTTATAAAGCATCCTTAAGGTGTTTAATTACCCGAATACTGTATCTTTAGCTAAGGTAAAAAAAAAAAGGTGGTTGTGATCAGATGTCACGTACAGCAGGTGTCGAGTTTTAGTGTGAAACCACAGAGCTCCACTCCTTTTACAGAAATAAAGTAGTATAAAGTAAAAAGTATTTTTCTCAGCTCAGGACAGGAGCTGCAGGAAGTCGGTCGCCCGGTTTCACGTGACCCGGTCAGATTACATCACTGATCCAAGGCTGCTTTTGTGCTGGAGATGAAGTTCTGAGATAACGGCTGTGAAACAAAGTGTGTCCTGCCCTGGGTGGATCTGCACTTATAACAAAGTGATAATGATAACATGGTGCTTTTCAGTTAAGTACAAGGGTAGAATCAGGGTTTCTTTACACAAGGGTTCCTCAGATTTGTCTGAAAATCAGAGGAGCTACGACATGTCTGACATGGAGACACAGTCCTGATCTTGGACGCCCTGTGTTCAGCCACCAGGGACAGAAAGAATCATATAGAACCACTGGTCAGACTCCACTGCAGCTACAGAGTGCCCATTGATTCACTGAGGAGTGTAATGCACATACTGCTCACCAGGTGTCTCATTGAGTGTAGCAGCAGCTCAGGATTTCAATGCAGGAATTGTCCTCTGGGAGAGAAGACGGTGGGAGAAATCCATTGAATGGGATGAGAGAGGTGGAGAGAGAGAGAGAGAGAGAGAGGAGGAGAAAAAAAATGCCTTCTCACTGTGACTCCTCTTTCTTTGTCTCTCCCACGCCCAGTCTACCACCATGATTCCAAAAAGAGATTTCATGACACGGTGGTTTCTGCAGAATAGAATGAAACGCACGGATATACTGTATATGTGGGGAAAAGGAAAACAGGATTCATGCCTGAATGCCAAAGTGATACATGCTGGAGGAATAAAACGTTAGAAGAAAGCAGTGAGCTGCATCGTGTTAGTCACGCTGTGTGTTAAAATCAACACTCTCACACACAACTGCTGTGTCTCACACACACACTCTCTCCCTCTCTCTCTCTCTCTCTCTCTCAGTCCACAGTAGCTGCTCAGACTCCTCCTCTGTCGGCAGTCAGAAGGAGGGGGGATCCCCGGCCTCTGGGAGGGACCCAAGGAGAAGCTCCGGCTCAGCGAGCTTCTCACAGGTGGGTCCAAAGAAGGGAGAAAAAAAAAATCATGAATGAAACCATCCACTACTATTACTACTATTAATAGAGTGTGTGTATCCTTGAAATACAGCAGTATCAAATGAAGAAAATTTGTCAGAACTCTTTGCACAGAGTCTCACCAGACTTTGGACAAGTCGATCATGTAAACACGACCAAAGAAAGAACTTTTTAAATGACTTTTTGGAGCTGCAACTGTTAAAAAATATGGTGGGGGAAATTCTTAAAATAGTTCTCAATGTCCCACTCCATTTATGTATGAATTCATTTGTGAATTAAAATGTAGCAGGAATTAAATCATTCCTAAAATTGGTCAAAACTGTGGTCCATTCATTGTCCTCAACAATATTAATCAGTCTACAGTCCCTGGCAACAGTCAGTCTCGTCAGTAGTAGACTGTAGTATACTGTATATACTGTAGCGTGTGTGGGGCTCAGACAGAAGAATAAACACTGAAAACAATATGTTTAAAGGGAATATAACGTATGTGTGTATAAGTTTATCTTAGAGAAAGACGGGAGAGTTCTCTTGGCATCATCTGCACTATAAAGTTGATTCATTTTGGCTCCACACACACACACGCTCACACTGTCTCTCACTGAGGCACAAACACACGTACACAAAAATTCCCCCGTCTCCTCACCTAGCAAACGGAATATGGCAGATTGGCAAACAGACTGTGCGGCGAGCAGAGCGACAGACAGACGGACACGGGCAGAACAAACACACAGAACAAACAGATCTGCATACATTCCACAACAAAGAGGCATTTAACCGCTTCTGCACACACACGTGCACGCACATCGAGTACGCACACACACTCCAGCAGGGGATACGCTGTGACATTTTCTGTGTTTTCTGTGATTTGCTCCTCAGGGTCAGTCGCCCTCTACAGCTGTGTAACTGTCACTGTCACCACAGTAAGTAGCTGCCTTCACTCAAACATATTTTATTTCCACACCACATGTAAGAATTCCACGGAAAACTTTTGCAGTTCTTACCTACGGTGCCCACTAAACAAAATTACTTTACTCATCCTGCAGGGGGTGCCATAAACAAATTTCTAATGCTGGTTATAGCAAATGCACCTCAGTACAGACTATAGTGGAGCTGGTAGTGGTTCCCAAGGAGCTATTGCATTCAACTATGTGGTGTTTAACTACCGATCTGAAACCTTTACACCTCCATTCCAGACACAGACACTGTTCAAATTACACTGCAGAAATAGTTTGATTAGAATCATTTAGTTCAAATCTATCCACAGTTTTGACTTTTAAAACAAATGATTTTCCTGCGTGCTAACTTTGTTTCCTCAACCCTTTTTCCCACTTAGGAACTGGACCAATTCAATCATCTCTCTTCCACCTGTGGCCAAGCCCAACCGGACTACAGGGAGCAGGTGGTCATGAAAGGAGACCCTGAGCCTCTGTTTGAACTTCTTCCACATGCTTGCTCCCATTTATTACAGCTCCTAAAACAAATACGGAGACGGCAGATTATCTGGAGCATGGCTGCTGCTCTGCTCTCTCCCACTTTTCTGTTAACCCTTCTGGTTCCCTTTAGAAAGCAAACACTGCATCTTAAAAGGATCAAAACTGGCCCAGTTCAAAAGCCTGACAAGCACCAGCAGGGGCTCCTTGCACTCCGCCATTTTGGATCTGCCACTCTCAGTTTCTGGCAGAGTCGCTGACACTGACGGCACTTCAGCCACAACAGTGCAGCCATTGTCCACCCTGCGGCTTCCCGCTAAGCCAAACCACTTGGTTCAAACCAATGACTGCCTTTGACTGAACGTATCACATGCTCCAGCATCTGAAAATAAACAGGAAGTAATATGCAGGGTGTAAATCCAGATTAGAGAATCCATTGTGTACTTATATCATATATCATATATCAACTGTATTTTCTTTTCTCCCTGTGTACAAACATTAGAGCGGCCAAGCCTAGGTGTGATTGCATCTATGTAAATGAGGCTGGGGCGGTGTGTCCGCGCGCGCACACACACAGACACAGACACACACACACACACATACAAACGGAGACATGCAGTGTCTGTCAACACATGCAGTCATTCTCGTTGTTACAAGACAGTGGAGACACTGTTCACATTCACATGCCTGCACATCCTCACTGTGTTCATGTTAGAGTCTGATGCAGTGGCTAAAACCAACGACGGGCGAGGTTACACATCAACGCCTCGACAACGAACCCCAACGTCTTAGACTATCATAATTCACTGCTATATGTCACATAAACATTTCTGTATGATTATTGTAATTGATAATATTATTAACCATTGTGTTTGATCCAAAGTCGAACTTATGTTTATAACATTAGCATCATCTTAAAGATGTTTGGGTTTTTTTTTTCTGTTAATGACTTTAACCTCATACTTTCTCAGTATACAATGCTACGGTAGTGTTCCAAAGGTATAAAAGGGTGTCTGTGCAATGTGGGTTTGTGTACAAAGAGGTATTTTCATATCATTCAGCTTTTAAAGTGGAGTAGATGGATTACAATGAACAGAGGTGGGTCTGTTTTTATCTTCTTTATGAACAGTATATGATCCAGTTTTACTGGTCCTGTCTTTGCTGCCAGAAAACATGAACCTTATCTGTTTGTGCGTCACGAAATCCGATCAAATGTGATTTCTAGGTCAGGTCCCACAGAGAGGTTTCCCTCAATTTGTTCCCCCCAGTTTTGTTAAAAAGAAGAGTTTGTTCTTTGGTGTCGAGTGTTAGCAAAGACCACTGACGCTAAAAGGCCGATGTGTAGCTTAAACAAACAGCTGGTGATCTAAAAGTAGATGGAAATACTTTTCTGTCTAAACAGAAATCAGCTGCTAGGACCTGGATCCCACTTCTCAACATGATACTGTGTTGTTTTAACTGTGTAAACACGCCACACTTTGTTTTTCGCTAAAGATGTCTGCTATAAGCTAACGCTAAATGCCATTTAAAGCATTAATACATGGACTTCTTAGGGTGTACAAGAATTGAAACCTTCAAGTTTCAAAATTAGCATAAAGCTACTTTGATAAAAGACAAACAAGTAATTAAATGTTATTAATTGTAATAAAAGCACACAGAGCAGGTTGTTATCTGTAGTTTACAGCATTTTGGTCAACTAGCTTGCAGTATTACAGTAGTATTACAGTATTACACTGCCACCTGTTCGACATAGCTTTATCATTCGCCAAAGATACTGTATCTACCATTGCAGCGATAAGGTTAAATTCACAACCTTCATTTTATTGTGTACTTTGTATGAGTGTTGAAATATAACAAACAAAAGGTTTTTTTTTTTTTAATTATTCCTAGGTTTGCATTACTTTAATGCATATGTCATTTAATGGAAATTTGTAACATGAGCCAAATTGTATGTGTAAGGATTTGTCTGTGGGTTCTGATTCAGTGTTTGGAAATGATTCCATTATATAAACCCTGTCAATTTATGTATTGCGGCCAGAGAAATGGTTATAATATAATATTTTTTATGCAAAGCTGTAGTTCATATTTTATGGCAGCCAGGATGCTGTGAGTAAAACCAATCAACAACCACTTACAGCTCTGATTGTACGAACCATGCATCAAAAAAAACAACACACACACACACACACACTTGAGGTACAATGTGATTTCTGCATGGTAGGGAGAGCAGACAACAGCAGTGGCTGTGGTGGCGGGAGGAGGCCGTGCACGTGTCTGCACACAACGGCGGCACTTTGTCAACCGTTATCAGATTTAGCACGTCTCATATCTGCATCCAAATTCAGAAATTGCAAATGGCTATTGAGCTGTTTCTGAATCAATATGTAATTTGTTGGCTCGCAGTGACTCCCGTACCATCGCCACCACCCTCCTCCTCTCAAACTCCACGGCCGTATACTTCATAGCCTTTAGCTGTTTGGTACATTGCGTGTTATTGGAAGCGATTTAATGAACACCATCTTTCATTCCCACTGCAGTATAGATTGTCATATGCAGAAATCTCTCACGTCTGTTTCACCAAAGTAGTAATTATGTACAGAAACTTTTCTAATGCTATATATTATATTCTCCTACTTATAAATATATATATGTATAATGACACCAGGCCATGATGTTTACATATTTTGAAAATGTTGAAAACACATGTAATGCTGACTTGATCTTTGTACTTTTTACTCCTTAACATGTGTGTTTTCAATGTGTTGAAGTAAAACTGGATGGAAGCTCAGACTCTTTACTGCAGTACTACAAATACAGAGCGTACATCAGAAATCGATGTGACCGTTATATAATGGGTTTGTGGGGCCTAACCTGAGGTCCACTGGATTGTTGTCAGTCACACCTGGTGTTTACCCGCCTTCACATATATTTGGTGAACATTTAGGCCTTCATGAGCAATTTAATCAAAATTTTTTTGATTTACGTTCAACAATTTTCTTTGAACAATTTTTTAGCCAATCTGCTCTAGTTGCCCATCTTTGACTTGTCAGATGTCTGTCGTCCTCCTGGACACTTTTTGGCCTTTTTTCTAACGTCAAGGTATTTTAAGGCTAGTGTTTCTTTTTTTGGCAAACATCAAACATTTTTTTTGCATGCATTTAAACTACTTTTAGCTGTCTTTTATCTCGTGTACTGTGGTGAAAGTACAGAGCACACCAACGCTCACAATGAAATGTATCTTCTGCCTTTAACCCATCACCTTAGTGAGCAGAGGTGGCAGTTCAAGCTGAGGGCCCAGGACGCAGACTTGTTTCACCTCAGTGGTGAAACAAGTCTGCGTCCTTAACCAGCAGTTTTTTTGTTTTTTGTTTTGGTTAAATTTGAGTCTTTTTTCTGGCCAAGCTTTTTTGGCTGTTTATTTAAGAACCATGATAACCTTTGCTTAAATATTGTTGCCTAGCCTTTGGCTGTGTTTATTTTTGTTAGCCTTTATTTGGCCTTTGAGGCTAAATACCAGAACGATCCAGTAGTCAGTCAGAAGTGAAGAAGCCTCCTGAATGAGAAACCTTCTCCGTCCAGTTGACCTCCATGTAACTATTTTGGACATTTTCATTTAAATTCAGCAAAAACGTATCTCTTACATCAATCGATTTATTTTTAGCTGGTTGGTATTTTCTCAGGCCAACTTATCTATTGGCTCGTATTCAACTATTTCGGGGAGTTGCGTGCTGTGTGTTACAGTAACCTGTCTACATTTTCACAGGGTTGGTGCAAATGTTTTCTGTGTAGCCATGCCATGCAGTTTTAGATATTTGCCCCAGAGCTCCTGCTAATTTCCAACCCAGTCCTGGTCGGGATCTTGTCTGGAATCTAACCTCAAAATACGAAGGCCGTAACCTCGCAACCTCAGGCCGACAGTAACGAGTGAGGTCTCCCATCTCTGAACACCAGCTGTGCTGCGACTACGACCGCCCTCCGCCTCCATCGGCTTCACAAAAAGCCAAATGATTAGATAACTGTGCTTCAGTGCCATATCAAATAGTTGTAGGGATCAAANGACAAGACCGAGAGCATGAGTGTGGGTACGTGTGTGTGTCCATCTGTTCATGTGAGCGACTTGGAGAGGAATGAGAGATAAAGGCCGACGTAAAAAAGAAGAAAGATGGAGGGGGGCAACAGGAAGGGGCAGAACAGAGCGAGGGAGAGACAGAGGAGAAGGGCAGGAGACAGTAGGTGGGAATGATGGGAAATGAGTGAGGGCGAAAGGGGGCAGACAGACAGAGAGGCACAGTGGAGGGGAGAGCAGGAGCACAAGGAGAAAGAAAGAAACAGAGAGAAGGAGAAGAATGGAGAGAAGGGCTTATAGGAGGAGAGGGAGACACAAAGTAGACTTGGAACTTTTTTTCTCTCTTCTCCTTACTCCTAAGAACTAAGAGAGGGCGAGAGAGCTGCAGAATAGATGAAGAAGAGAGGGAGAGAGAGAGAGTGAGGGTAAAAAGGGGGATGTTGACAAAGCAGCGAGACTGTGGCGAACAAAGAGAACGTGAAGAGAATGAGTCGGGGGAAACATCAAAGGGATTTTTCAGGCCTGGTTACCGGGACAACAGACATTTGCATGCGATTAGCTTTTTACATCATATTAAGAAGGGTACGGGTGAAGGGGGGCGGGGGGTGACTGAGGGAGGCAGCTATAGATCATACACACACACACACTGTATGAGATGAGTGAAGAGAGAGGGAGAGAAAGAAGGACGTTGGTCATCTCACGCGGATAAACTGACTTATAGGCAGTCAGCCAAGCGTTTCTTTTGTAAATGTGAGTTGGTGCTGGTGGTGGAGGAGGAGGAGGAGGAGGAGGAGGTGGTGGCAGTGGAGAAGTACAGTAATACAAGGGCGCAGACATTTTGGCATAGGGAAGTCAGAGAAGCCAGGGTGGTTTTTTTTTTTTTTTTTAGCTTTTAATGTTTATTCGGCTTTAGATTCAAGTTCGATGCCAAATATTTGGAACCACAGGAGAGGAACGAGCGAGAAAAATGACAGAGGAGGGAAAGAAATGACACAAAGATACAATCAGTTTGAGCAACAACTGCTGCTCACTTTTCTACCTCTGACACAGAAAACTGTTTTTAAATCTTTTTCAGTTTTAGGAATAATTAACGGGGTACACGATTTGGTAACAAATATGTCAAGCCCTAAAAAAAAACCTCTCCAATTAAGGGATATTTTCAGGCAAAAAAAAAAAAAGCATAATTTCTCACCAGGATCCTGTGTATATTCATTTGACTTGGCTAATGTTTATCATTTTATTTTAACATTTGGTTATTTATTTGATTTATTTGATCTTCGGTTACGTCTGTTCCACCTGGATACACCACACGATGTCTGTTTATTTGTATCGTTTTTTCCAGATTGACACTTTGTCTGTGTATCGTGTCATGCTCCAAATTCAAAAACAACAAATTCTTTTCAGATGTTGGTTCTGACTGCCAGAGAACGCTGCTTTGTACAAACATAGAAGCACATTTGTCATCGGTGGCCCGAAATATCACGTTGCACAAATCCTGTTCATACAAAACTCTCTGTTTGTTTTACTTCACCTCCTTCGTTTTCATTACAGAAACGTGTGGTCCGTGTACCACCTTTTTGACAGAATTTTAAAAACTGTGATGTCAATGTCAAGTTATATCATCTATAAATTCAGCTTTACACGTGTTTCACCGATACAGTCTAGCTTATGTTTTTCTCTGCAGTCTGCAACACAAACTGTACAACATACCGAGCAGTACTGTAGGTTTACACACTGAGTCAGGGTTTTAGTCAGTCATTTATAATTTTGAAAGGAGCTGTTGTGTCACAGTTGCACCAAAGTTGATCGACGCAAGCTCTAACCGCAACAGGAAGTCACGTCTGTGTAGGTTCTCAGTCATCCAGGTCAACTTAACCAAAAAAGGTTACATCGAGGGCAACCGTACGCAGTAGGGTTTCTTGAAGACGTTCCACCTCTCATCCAAGAGGAGGAACTGAAGAAGCCTCTTGGATGAGAGGTGAAACATCTTCAAGAAAACCCTACTCCATCCAGCTGCCCTCGATGGAAGTGTTTTTGAAAAGGAAGTCACCTTTTGGCCTCATGTTATTTAGAATCGATTTATGATGATAAACAAAACCAAATCTCTGTAAATCAAATTTACCGTCCTCATTTCTCACATTCCATTTGGATCAAACCTGCAGGTGTACACTGACATTTTATTATTACACGTGAAAGTGTGTGTGTCTAAGTGTGAAGGCACAGGTGTGAAGCACAAATATGTACGGATCGTCATGTGTTTGTTAACCAACACCGATTCACATAAACACATGTTGTTTGCACACAAATCAGTCTGTGAAAACACACACTCAGACGCAGACAGACAGACACACACACACACACACCTCACACAACCTTCCCCGCCATCATATAAAAGCCATTAAACATGTTTCTATGGGCACACAGCCTGCAGCGCTTTACACATGTAATATGATCCTGTCACTCCTCCTCCTCCTCCTCCTCCTCCTCCTCCCTTTTTTCCCTCCTTCCTCTTCTCTCTGTTCTCTTATCAATCCTGTTACTATTTCTTCCTCTTACTGTCCTTCATCACCCTGTCTTCCCATCTCTCCTTTGTTTCTCTTCCTCACCATCTACTCCTGCCTTCCTGACACTCCATTTTCCCTAACCCCCCCGACACGGGGTCACGTCAGTGTCTCTCTCCATCCTTTAACCTTTTCTATCTCCTCTCTTTCATTCCCTTTCCACTGTCTTTCCGTCCTCGTCCACGTCTTCGTCGTTTATTCCGTCTGTCCTCCGTTTCCTCCCGTCCTTTTACTTTGCCTCACTCTTCCTTCCTGTCTCAGTTTCATCCGTCTCTCCAACATTTCACCTTCGTTTTTCTTCACATTTTTCTTACTTTCTTCCTCTCGTTCTTTCCTTGTTGCCTTCTTGTCCTTCTTTTCTTGATCTTCCAATCCACCCACCCATCCATCTCCTCCTCCTTTCCCTCACTCCTTCTTTCCCTTTGCTTCTGTCCACGTCTTCCTCTCAGGTCTTTTCCTCATTCCTAGGTTTGTCTTTGACCTTTCATCTGCTCCGTCCTTCCTTCCTGTCTCCTTCTCCTTCACCCTCTCGTCTTCATAACTTTGACTTTTTATATATTTATATATATACAATTACCCTGACGTTACCATACTTTATTGTTCTCTGTATGGCCTACCCTGCTCTCCGTGTGTGTGTGTGTGTGTGTGTGTGTGATGCTTCAGTGCCCTCAGTATTTGTGGCTGCATTGTGCCAGTAGGCGTCGCCTCAACAGCCGTTGTCACGGCAGCATTGTGATGGGGGGTGTGAGTGGTAGTGATGGAGTGTGTGTGCGCGCGTGCGGGTGTGTGTGTGTGTGTGTGTGTGCACGTGAGTCAAAAGGGTGGGAGTGTATTACAGTATCAATACCCTGACACTGCGACAAAAAGGACAGCAGCCGTAGCCACATATCACTCCACCTCTGCACTCCTCCTCCTCCTCCTCCTCCTTCGTCGTCGTCTCCTCCCTCCCTCCCACCCTCCTCCTCTCCTTCCTCCACCCAGATCAATTCTTCCTCCCCTCCTTCCAATTGATTTCCCACCATATCTCACTGAATATGTACATATCGATCCTCCTCCTCCTCCTCCTCTTCCTCCTCCTCCTCCTCAGCTCTGCTCCATCCCTCACTCTTTTCTTCTTTCCTCCTCATCTCTTGTTGTTCATTATCAAACATCTATC